CTTTTTTCATTCTAGCTTTATGACCTTTAATGGTGGGCCGATTTCGTTGCACCCGCGATAGCACTTTGAACCTCTCCTGTGTCTATTTATACATTTTATTAAATGTTTTTTTATATTAATTTTTGTAAAACAGATTACAATGTAATCCTGCGAACAGTCATTTCTTTAAAAAGAGTTTTTATTTTCTTAGTAAGAAGCCTTGAGTGAGTCTAAATGTTGCACCCGCGAGTACGGAATCGTTTCTTTTATTTTGGTAATGTATTAATTAACTAATGAGTTTATTAAACGTTATTATTTTGATTAATTTATTCCATTCTGAAAAGTGCCCACTATTTTAAGGTATTTTTAACGCTACAAAAGTGAAATCGTCGTTGACTTTCATATGCTTTTTTATGACTTATAAAGCACAATTTTTTTTTAAATCTGTTTAAAACAAAGCTTTAAAACCGGCGGAAATTAATTTTGTATTCAGCTCGATTTACGTTTTTTTTAATCGTTTTTATTTTATGTACATTTGGTTTTATACGTGACAGGGATAAATCCGTTAGCAAGCTTAAAACAAGCGCACTAATTTTAAATACGATTTTTTAATACGCAGGGAAAAATAGCAGGTTTTGTTGTAAGTTTGGATCTCTTATTTGCTTTTCTATATTCATTAATTTAAATATTTTTATGTAAGGTAGAATTTTCAAAAATGTTACTTAAAAGTTTAATAATTATATAATTATATTTTCGGCCCCCGCATGTGATGAAAAAAGTTATGTTGTATTTAACAAAAGGGTGTCGATAAACTAACCAGATAGTAAAACTTTTCAAAATATTTAAAAAAATGTTACACAAACATAATACAATAAAATAATCCTAAGTCAGCTAGAGAAGAGGTCATTGACGAACTTTATATCAATTATACTACAAACCTGTATCTAATCGGGTTAAGCCAGGATGACATTTTTTACATAAAAAACTGAATTATTAGGAGTTATTTTTCGCAATGTTTATCACCTGTTAAAAAAGTCACCAGAAAAGTTTAGTTTATCTGTCAGTAGTTAATTAGCAAAATTCTTCTTTAAAACTATATTTTGTTATGTTATTTTGTTGTTAATTTGCCTAGTTTAAGAAATATTATTTGTAAAAATTAAATATGAAAATATATTCATGAAATAAAACAATGTTAAATCCAGACCTCTATAAAGAGTCTTTATCAAAGACTGCATTTGACAGCGACAAGTTGCAAAATATTGTTGGTATTTTATGTAACGATTTAAATGATGTAGACTTGGTGATTGCTAGATTTTTTTATGACAATTAACACAGCTACCAAAAATCCATGATTTTATTTTTTTCTCATTTGCGTTTCATCATTTTTTAAACGATTTTGCTTTTTTTACCTACATATTCTGTCAAAAAAGTAAACGTGTTATTTTATTAAAAAGCCAAAATAAAATTTTATTTTCTTTTTTTTTATTATTTAAATACCAATTGGTTTAGATCAGCTGCAATTTTACAATAAATAAAAATAGTTCGTTTTTAAGTTTGGTTTGAGTGAGGTAGGATTTGCCTAGTTCCTATTGTCTATTAATGAAAACATAAACAGAGAACTTTGACCATTTATATTATAGATTACCTACTTAATATGTCGACTTTTCGTGACTCGCTTTTAAGCCATAAGATATAATGTCACAATGATTGTCAATGCGTATACAAGTTATACAAAGATAAGCGTGGACCTCGACGTATTCGTATACGAATCCATTTTTACTATTCTTATTGTTTCCTTTGATATGATACGCGTTGCCACTGCAGTGCCCATAGCCTTGCTTAGGTAAAAAGTAAAAAAAAAATTGATGTCTTGAGAAGATCTGCAAATACCCCCATACTAAACAATCCATGGGTTATTACGATTGTAATTGATAAAAATGTATTTAAAAAATTATTTAAATAAACTAACATTTAAATCTGGCTGGAAGCAGGGATGCCGAGCGCTTGGCGTAGAATGCCGAAAGACAAAAGGAAGGGGGAAGTAGCCGGGAAGGAAGACGGGAAGGGAAGAACGGCCATTCTAGAAAAACCTGTTACCCCGGTTTTTCTAGAACAACGCGTGAAAATTTGGTGAATTGAAAAGAGTGTTTAAATGACAGGTTTGTACATTCTAATAACTAAATTATTGTGGTATAAATTGTACTATTAGATTCACATTTATGTCCCGTAATTAGTAAAGTGATATTATCGTAAGTAATATCATAAGGGCATCTAATTTTCCGAAAAAAATCGAAAAAACACGTTGCTAAGTAATATTTTAACAAGAAGCATGAGTGCTGGTGGCAACAAAAATCCGAGTCGAAGAGGAGGATTTTTGCACGAATGCATTTTGTTAAAAAATATTACTTAGCATTGTGTTTTTTCGATTTTTTTCACAGGAAAAATTAGATACCCGAATGGTATTTGACAAGACTATTTCATGAGTAACAGTTAACAATTAAAATATAAATTGCAATTTTTGGTGACAACAGCTGTCAAGTTTTGCCGCGGGTAAACTCGAAAAAACTGCTGACAGGTGCTGTCACACAGTTTTTTCACCTAGAAACCATTTGTAATTCAAAATTGCGCGTTTGTGATTGGTGGAAATTAAGACGAGGGAAATAGTCAGTCATATTAAATTATTTGGAGTAAGTAGCAACGGTGATTGTGCGATAACAACATTTAATTTATGACCACTGTCCGTGGTCTCCTGACATAAGAAGCCCATTTTGAATTACTAAATTTTAAGATGTGCGTAGAGGTATGGTATCATCTGAGTGCGCAGACACAGACATTCAGGCCAATTCACTAACATGAGTCGTTAACGTTAACCACTAGAACCAGTGGTTATCGGGCAATCCGGCCAATCAAGCCGAAAAATCCTTGTATTTAAAACACGAAAAAATATTATTATTATTATTATTATTATTATTATTACTATTATTATTAAATATAACAACTTATGTTAGTGAATTGGCCTGATTGTCTTTGTTATTTGTGTCATAATTGTAACCTACTATTTTATCGTAATTATTAATTGATTAAAGCTTGCCGATAAATGGGGCATAATATACGATTGCGAACCCTCAATTGGAACGATCTCGAAGTCGATTATTTATTTACTAAACAGTTGGTTGAGTCTGAACAATAAACTTAAATTCAACATTTAATAATAAAAAAAATTTTGTACGGATGACGGATATACAAAAGTAAAATGTAAAATTCTGGACGGATAAAGTAACATTTAAAATACATAAATAGAGACTAAGACTTAATCTACTCAACCAACAAACAAACAAATAAACTAAAATTTAAAACGAGGAGCATCAACTTGAGCAAAGAACTCTCGGATGATGTATTATTTATCTAATTATATATATTTATATATTTATTTATTTTATATGTGGGTTGTTGTCGCAATATGGAGATATTGTGTGGGTTGTTAAAGGATGTCCCTTTCTTTCAGAGTTCTCTTTCAGAAAATAAGTTAAATGTCGTTTGATTTACGGTTACTGTTGTAGCTTTATGCAAATAAATTAGATTATTGATTGTTCTAAATTTTAGTATTTTATAGTTTTAAATCAGTCTCATAATCCCCCATTTTGGAAGGTCTTACTGTATTTATTATTTTCCTTTTAATACTTTGCCCATAAATACAACACCCCAAAAGGGTTACTAAATTAATGAGCTTTATTACCTTAAGTATTTATTTTATTTACTTGTCGTAATTTAATACAACATTTGCCGTGGTGTAACTTTTACAGATTCTTTGCTGGGGTAGGGGTTTGTACTCTTAGAGTCTTAAAATGGCTCCGATTTAAGTTGTACTTCTTCCTAAACGATTTACCTCTAGACCGATAATCCTGAGACCATTTACCTCTAGATAGATAATACTTAGCATAAGACATAATGTTACAATGATTGTCAATGCTTATACAAGTTTGACAAAGATAAGCGTGGACCTCAACTTATTATTATAATAATCATAATTATAATTATACAAATCTATTTGTATCATTCGTATTGTTTTCTTTGACGCCATTAATTAATTTAAATTATTATTTACGTTGGTCGTAGATAATAGTATATTATCTATCAAGTTTAATAAAGTCCATTTTAGTCACGAATTTTAAATATACACGAGAGAGCTTGCGAGCGAGTGTTTAATTAAATGAGTGCCTAAAAAAGTTTTAACTAGTTGCATACTATTTTTTTTCTATGACAAATACTTATTATTATCCTAAAAATATTTATAATACATTATTTCGCTTAAGAATTTCTAACTTATTTGTATCTGTATTACCGCGCCGGTAAAAATGTCAAATTTTAATGTTTAAATCAAAATGTATCCCTTAAAAATGGACTAACAACCGTTTAAAGGGGTCTCCTCAAAATTTTTAATGCTTTATTAGTTAAATTTAGTTTACTGCTGGCCTAATCGAAAGGTCGGTACAAACTTGCATATAAACTTTTCAAATAGGTATTGGCGTGGAGAAACTATTTTAAAAAATTTATTTTTGTATTAAGATAATAGAATAATTTCCTCCTTATTGTTTCACAAGAAGGGTACTTTATTATTTTAACAATTGTATGACATTTGACAACTGTTAATATAAATCTAATTTAAGCCCGTGACTAAAAACCTGTTGCTAACTTCATTCCGTGACTAAAACTCCATAAAGCCACAACTTGTCAATGTGTATTTAAAAGATCACTATATAAACATGAACGATAAAGGGCGTTTTAAAGATGGGAGAAAAAGTATAGTATGCAACTCGTTTTATAACAATCGTTTTTATTAAACACTCGCTCGAAAGCTTCGCTTATGCCTTATAAAACTCGTAACTAAAATGGCGTTTATATATAAAACGATACATAATATACTATTAATACATTATTTTAAAATTGTTTTAAGATTGCTTATTATTATATAAATTTGTATAAATCACTTTTTAGAATAATAAAAACGAATAATTTCTTACCTGTTGTGTAAAATGAAGATCAGACTTTGAAAGCCCTATAACAGCGGCAATATACGACGCACAAGTTCCAACACTCAGTATAACACAGTAGCGCAGCCTTAGGGGTAACGTGACGAAAATCAAGTAGTCCAACAGCAGGACCCATCCGAGGCTGTCGCGTGACGTCACCTCGTTCTTTTTGAGGAAGAGTGCCGCAAGGACCTGTGCGTTGGCCACGTGCCAGCTCACGTGCGGTATCGCGGACCAGAGGAGTTTCGATTCGAAACCGCGTTTACACCAGAGCAAAAGAGCGAGATTTGTTACAAGGAACGCGCTCATAAAGCTGTAGATAAGGATGTCTTGTCCACTTGGAACCTGAAAAAAATTGTTTAATTAATGGTAAGATAATAAAATAAACATGAATGATATTTTTTATTTTATCACCTGGCTTAAATGCTAATGGTCTGGTCGGAGTACCACGCTAAAGAGGGATTATGTAGGTATAAAAAAAAAATCCCACAAGTAGGTTAAGCGTTTAAATTGGTAAGATCTTTATATACACAGGTTTTTAACATAAATTAAACATATAGGTGCAATCTTTATAAAGACTATACCATACCACAAATACCATATATGGTATCCATTGCACAAGGGAAAACCCATAAATTTAAATAATAATATACATGGTGTTGGGTTAGAATATTATAGGAAAATGACAGAAATGTTTATAATTTTTTGCTTTGATCTTACTTAGTTTGCAAAATATAAAGTGTAAAGTTTTGTACAATACACGTCTAATTTTTTTTTGACAGTATAAAACAAAAATTACCTTTTGACGTATTTTTAGAAAATTTATTTTAATTGGTTTAAAATTACTTAAAAAGGATTAAAAACATTTTTTAAGATTAAATATGAAAGCCTGGTTGATCCAAGGCGTCTTAATTATACAATTAAAATTATAGAAGTTTAACCTTTAAAGCGAACTGCTATTTTATTTTTTAATTTGGAAATATTTGTTTAAATTGAGTTTAAAATGATGATATAGCTGTTTTAATTGTTAATTATAACAAATTGACAACAAATTAAACATGTTGTGGGATATAACTATAGTTTTATTTTTTACCTATATATATATAGGTAAAAAATAAAACACATTATTCATAATTGAAGGGCTCTGTGCAAAAACAGGTCAACTCCATTTTTTTTTCAAAATAAGTTATTTTTTCTACTCCCACCTTTAAAACGCCCAAAATCGTACATGTTTTCATCACACCTTTTAAATACACATTGACAGAGTGTGGCTTTATGGCGTTTTAGTCACGGGCTGAAAGCAACAGGTTTTTAGTCACGGGCTGTAGTTAGTTAGTTTTAAGTTAGTTGACAGTTGTTTAATGTCATACAATCGTTAAAATAAAGTGCCTTACTTGTAAAATAATACTAAACGTGAACATTATTTTATTATCTCAATACAAAAATACAAAAGTATTAATTAGTTTCTCAACGCCAATATTTGAAAAGTTTATATGAACATTGTACTGACCTTTTATTTTCGCCGGCAGTAAACTAAATTTGGGCACGGACTCCACTGTAAAGTGCTCATAAAACATTTTCTTTACTTTCACTGTGAAAAACTGTCCATTTTCAAGGAATACATTTCGATTTATAACCTTTATAATTTATTTCATATTGTTTATTTTATGAAATAATCTGTGTTTATAAAATATAAAAATTGGACATTTGACGATGACACACAGATTCCCCTATTGTTTCATAGATGGCGCTCTATATAAATATTTGATTTAAATCATTTTAAGATAATATGTATTTGTCGTAGAGAAAGTATAGTATGCACCTCGTTTATAAACTTGTCTATACACTCATTAATTTAAGCACTCGCTCGCAAGCTCGCTCGTGCCTAAATTAAATTCGTGTATAAAATGGCGTTTATTAAACTTGATACATAATATAAAATTATGCATCATATAAAACAAATAATTTGTGCATCTTTTGGTGCATGAATCAGCTACATACAACCAATACTAAAAAAGACATAGGACGAAAACATGTTTTTTTTTTAATTTTATCACAGTATTTTATTTTTTTTTGTAATCTGTAACAATAAAAATTGGCTTTTGTTTTATATTTCTTAATAGTACACTGTTATAAAAATCAGATTTGTTAACATAATTTTGTAGTTTCTAAATTCTATTTTGTAAAACTTTAACATAATTTTTTGTAGAAAACCAGCATTTTTAATTATTTTATCAAAGGAAAATATTTTACCAAAAATTTCAAAGCTTACAGATTATTTTGTTAATACTTAACACATTTTTTTGTTAAAAAAGTACACGCAAAGTCAAACAAAACATTTCCCACTGACAATACGCATCAACAAGTTCAACTGACTTCAGCGTCTGCAACTTATAAAGTTATAAAGTTATAAAGTGCTCTTTTAGTTCCACCCTTACATCCAAACTAAGATGTCCCATAAGCCAACTGAATGGCTTGTGCGGGTTAGGGGTAGGAACGGACCGACGGCTTAAAGTCCCCTCCGAAGGACTATTATTATGTTTCTGCTTACTTTATTCCAATTCGTAACGTGTTCGTAACCACTGTTCAGTGTAATAAATTACCAAAAATCTGTTATTATTGTTCTTCGGATTCTTTATACCTATTTAACGAGTGTGCGAAGTATCCGAAAAAAGATGCCATCACTAGTTTTTAAACGGGTTAAAGTTACGAAATACATCAGTGTTATAGTGCTGATAATTATATTGTACCAAATTTATTTATAATTTGATGATTTCAGAATGGAGTTTTATTTAATTGCGTGTATGTTATTTTTGTGCTAAATTGATTAATAAAGCAACATTTCTTATAAAATTCCTTTCATTTAAGTTCCCAATTTCCACCAAATACTTTTGTCTACAAAAAACTTTAAAATAAAGTTCTTTTTTAAAATTACAGGAATTATGGTCTACAAAATACACTGCGGGTTATAATTAACGCATAACAAGTTAAAAAAATCCAAATATAAAACGCCTTTACCAATCTTTATAAAATTTTGCATAAAAATATTTTAACTTATATCTCAGTTTACGTGTTCGAGGGTTTTTCGAGAAAATATTCTTAAAGCCCATTTATTTAATAATAAAAAACGAAAAAAAACTTTTATAGGGAAATTTTTTTTAAGTAAATAAAAAATATGTTGTGAAAGACCGTATTTTTGTTAGTATACCCTGAAAATTTTGTACAAATCAAACAAACAGTAACAAAAATACAGCACTTCAAAGTCCACTTTTCAGCAAAATAATCAAAAAGGGGTCATTTTTACCGACTTTGAAGCGATGTATCTTCGTTACTGTTCGTTTGATTTGTACAAAATTTTTAGGGTATACTAACAAAAATACGGTCTTTAACAGCATATTTTTTGTTTAATTAAAAACATCCCCTAAAAGTTATTCTAACATAAAATTAGGTCAATATTTGGTTATAATTAACAAATATTTTTTTTCCAAAAAATTGTCCAATGTGTCTAGGAAAAAATCATCTTTTAATTTGTTATTAAATTAATGCCCAGCACCATTACTTAATTGCCAATATGTTTTGATACAAAAAATCAGCAAATACAGTTTAAATTTTTTGTATTAATTTTTCACAAATTAAAAAAAATTGAATTAACTGGTTTTTCACCTATCCATTTAATTAAATTACACTTAATAGATACCTACCACATTTTAATTATACGTTTTTTTTATAAAAAGTTTCGTGCAAAACTTTTTTAATAATAAACGTAGTGAACTTTTTACTCATTATTTAATTATGAGTATAAAAGTTTTGATCTCATGAGTAATAAACAGCAGGGTGCGGAATGACCGATGGAGAGTTGTTAAAGGATATTTTTCCAAAGGTCGATAACTTAATATTTCCTTCGAATCGCCCTTCTTAACCTTTGGTTGAAGTTTTATTTAATTTATATAGAATTTAGTATACGTAAGTTTTAAAGTTTATTGTTTGAGAAAAATCCGTATACTTTTTTACTGAATATTTAAGAATTTTTTTTATAAATTTTAAAAGTATATTGTTTGAGAAAAATCCGTATACTTTTTTACTGAATTTTGTTTATAAATTTTAAAAGTATATTTTAAAGCTAATGGAATTAATTATGGAAAGTAATTTAACATAAATTAAATTTATTAAGGATCGTAAAAGAAGTGGACTAACGTATAATAAAAGAAATAATAAATATAACATTTTATCTTAGTTCAAACGTGTTCTTTACAGATTAGAAGGTAAAACCCGATTGGTCTTAATTATTTTTACAGCCTATAGGCTATATATTAGTTATTATTTATAATTATTTAGTTAAAGGTTGTTAAATATACAAAAATGAATTCGGATCCTTATTTTTTTGTGAATATACTGGTCGGCATTTTCGAAAGTTTTGCCGACTGTATCTGCATCTAATGCAGACTCTCAAAAACTTATTTGATATAAGTACAATTTTTTCTTAAACTTACACCTTTCAAAAATCTTTAAAAAATTCGGCATTTTATTAAAATTAACCCCCCATGATTGAAACCTTTGCTACGTCCCTGAGAATATTATTATGCAAGACTTGCATAATTACTTAGAATTATGAAAACAAAATTAAATATGCCTCGTTTAGTTTAAAATAAATGATAACCCTATTAAAGCCTTATTTAAAGGGTAATGGTTCGTAGATTCAAGTATTTTTTTAACTAAAAAGCAAAAATCATTTCTAAATTAGTAAAAATATAATTTCCAATATTACATTTGTATGTATAAAGTGCGTTTGGAAATTAACAATTTATAAATTCTTTTTTTAATAAAAATTACTAATATTTTATTTATTTAGTTACAAAATAATGCCTGTAATAATTTAAGATGTTTTAAATCCTCTTAAAAAAAGAAAACATTAAACATATTGTCATTGTCAACAAACTTTAAAATAGACTGGTTTTAAGATAAAAGTCTAAAGAAGGAAGAAAAATACCAAATCTAAAATTGTTCTAGTCAGTGTGGAAGAAGATCAAGCAGAGCTACTAGAAAGTCTTGAAAGGTGCATCGAAGAAGCGGGGCTAAGGCTAAATCGTGGAAAGTGCATCCTACTAGTAGTAGTTAAAAAAAATAGAGATGGGAAAATTCCCATTTGACGAAAATTCCCGGAAACTTTCCATCGAAAATTCCCGAAATTTTCCGAAAGTTTCAAAAAATTTTTTTATTGCGAAAATATTTTTTTTATGCCAGGGATTTGCATTAACTTTTTGTCAAATTTTATTAAGAAAAAAAATAAAAAAAAATGTTTATAAGAATGTAACTGCAATACTATTTTTAGTATCTTTTACTTTGGAATATTCCTATTGTATACTGAAACTTACAAAATAAAAATAAAATGTTTACTATTAGAAATACACTGCTAGTAAATCCTAGATATTACGTAAAAAAAATTAAAAGGGACAAAGTAACTAATATACCTATAGGAATATTGAAAAGTAAAAAGTAAAGTAAAAAATAATTCCAAACACTAGATTTTTCTCTTTTCATTATGCTATGCCTATAAATAAACAACAAAAATGTAAGAATGATTTTAACTTTGTTTATTGTTTTTATTTTGTTTACCTTTTTTTAAAAAAGTTTTTTGTGATGATGCTGGCTTCATTGAGGTTATGTAACATAACTTACATTATTTATACTTCTTCTTCTGCTTTAAATTAACACACATTAAATTTTATTCAAAGTTTCTTGGCCTTGTATCATGGCCTTAACGAAAATCAGCGGTTAAACAATTGACATTTAAATGAAAAAAACAAGGAAAGTTTCCAAGGAATGTTTCCAAGGAATGTTTCCGGTAGCTTAAAAGAAACTTTCAAAATGAAAATAAATTCCCAATTGGAAACTTTCCAAAACGGAAAGTTTCCTTAAAATGGAAACTTTCCGATTCCCATCTCTAAAAAAAAACATAATATATTATAATATATTATAACCTGTACAATTCAAACAGATTCCTGATTTTAAGACACAAGGTTACACAATATATCTGGGAGCGAAGATATCAGACAACAGAGACTGTGATCGTGAAGTGAAAAACCGAATTGGAATAAAGGAAGCTTTATCTAATCAAGGCCTTCGTCTTCCCAATAGCCACATATGGATCAGAAACATGGACCATCATCAAAGCAACAGGCAGTAACCATTGGTGTACAGAACAGTGATCCACTTAATAAACTATTGTAAATAATCTTAATTGTGCACTATGGTTCCTGGCACTTCTTATTGATGTGACAAAATTAACCATCGCCAAAGTAACCCGTAAGGTTTTATTAAAAAATAAATAGTTCATTCACATTGACGTTGAAGTTGACATTGTATATTAAGTGGATTAGTGTTCTGAACATCAATATTGATGTTCAGTAACCAAAAGGTTACTGATTTATTTTTTCAGTGTATCCATTCTTAAAGATCTGCACATCCACACTCACAACCGCATACTCCCAACCATACAAATACTGATCTTCGATCATTTTATGTGCGTTTACAGAAAAGTGAACTAAAGAAGAGAACGTGGACGATCTCCAAATAAATATATTGACGAAATAAAATATTTAACCAACTTATTAGTGACAGAAATAATGCGAAAGTTTAAAGACAAAAGGAATGCCACAACACAACAAAAAAGTACGGGTATACGTTCGAACCGAGTTACGAGGAAGAAAAAGGTAGACGACTAAAAAGGTTTTTGTTTTAACAACTTGCAAACTAAGCTTTTTACATAAAAGTTGATCCTATATTAAAATAAAGACAAAAAAATATGGTTCCTGCATAAAGAGGCGTTGAAAAAACGGTAATTTTCAGAAAATAGCAAAACACATTTTTCTATAGCCTTTCCGTTAGTAAAACAAGAAGTAGAGCATTTGCTTACGTAGCTACTTATTAATAGGTTATCAGGTATAATATATTATTAATAGGTATGGAATATTTTCAAGACTTTTGTTATTGGAGTAAATTATTTCTTTCGCAATTTAACAATTATATAATTTTATTATTTAAATTATAAATATATATATATATAATAATTTTTAAAAATTCTTACACGGGAAATGTTAATCTACCGGCGCGCCACGCCGCGGCGTTAAAATCTCAAATTTTTCTGTGTAAATTAAAATTTATTATCCCTTGAAAATAGACTAACAATCGATATAGAAGCAGTTTTTCACAGTAAAAAAGAAGATAATGTTTTATGGGCACTCTAAGCAAAATTTTTAACGCTCTATCACTTAAATCTACTACGGCGAAATCAAAAGGTCACAAACGTTCATATAATCTTTTTAAATATTGGCGTCAAGAACCTATTTATAAACTTTTGTATTTTTGTATTGAGATAATAAAATAATTTTTACATTTATTATTATTTTACAAGAAAAGAACTTTATTTTAACGATTATATGACATTTCACAATTGTCAACTAACTTAAGCCTGTTGCTAACTTCAGTCCGTGATTAAAGGACAATAAAGCCACAACTTGTCAATGTGTATTTAAAAAGTCACTTAGTTTCATGGAAACATGTACGATCATGGGCGTTTTAATGGTGGGAGCAGAAAAAAACTATTAATACTACTGCAAATAACATAATCCCGTTTACAAATTGTTCAAAACTAGACCCACAACTCCAAACCAAACTCGCTAATTCCGCAAAGGAAATGTTCTCTTAATTTGGCTATAGTGACTGCACCGAAAAAAATAATGTAGTTGAGTTAACATTTGCCTAAATGTCATTTTTAAAAATGTTGTTTCAACAAAAAACCTATTGGATTAATCTATATTTTGGTGTTAAAGCAAAAGTCAGAGTTTGTCAAAGTTTATTTGTTCATTTGACAGTTTAAATATAAATTTAACATAAACTAATATTTTGAATTAAAATGTTTATCGTACTTTGATTTAATAGCTGGAATTTTTGAATCAACTACTGAAATTTTTAGGATTACCTAAAAAAACTATTAAATTAACGTTTAGTTGCTCTTTAATCCAAAACTTTAAATTTGTTCATTTAACAAATTTAAAATGTTACTTTAAAATTTAAAATGTAAAATTTGCATTCATAAAATTGCCGAGAATGGCGCTTCGAACACTCACGTCACGTCATTAGACAATGACGTTTTCTTACATCTCGCCTTAGTTAGCTTACGATTAGGTGTATATAAGATGAGATATCGGTTTGTTTAAGGTGTGTTCCACAGTAGAACTTTCACTACACCATATTGCCCGACACTGTTAAGACCCTCAATACAGGGCGAAACAGTCTGTCGGTATTTGAAGTAGGTGGAACACATGATACAAAGATGTATCATGGGTGGAACACGCTCAAAACAAAAACTCTGGGTGAGGTGAAGGTTTAATTCTTTCTATTTATATATAATAATATATTATTTCCATAATTTTGTTTTGGATACCAACCTTTAAAGAATTTTACATTTTCAGAATGTTAATTTAACATTTTATTGGTGTTAAGTGAATATGCTAAAAAGGTTACCTGGACATTTCAAGAAATTTACCTTAACACCCTAAGAATGTTAAATTAACCAAATTAGCAGATTAGAACAAATATTCTTATTTTGTTCATTTGACTGTTATTTGTTGTTCAATTAAACAATACAATTTGACATTTTTAGATGGTTAAGTAAACGTGCAAAAACCATTGCTTGTATTTAAAGTGCATAAAGAGTTGAATTAATATTTTTTTTGTTGTTTCAACAGCTTATTTTTTTCAGTGTGGTTTGCCGTATAAACCCCAAAAAAAATAAAAAGAAGTCAAGTAAGGACTCCTCCGAGTTTTAACAAATTTGAGGTTAAGTTTTGAGGAGTTTTGTACGACTTGATGTTTCACATTTGAAAAAATTTATATTTAAAAAAAAAGTTAAAACCTCTTCACACGTTGGTCCCCCGTAAATTTATTTACCGAATATGCAAAATTAATTAAAAAAATTATTTTTTGATTAAAAATGAGTCCCGTATTATAATAATAGGGCGTGACAAAATAGCATTAAAAGAAATATCTTACCACAATCATGTAGATGTCAAACAGGATAGCGGTGATCAGGAAACATTCTAGTCCGGCCCTTTTCTGTTTAACACTAAAACTTTGATACAATCTCTCCAATGATGGATCCGTGAACGTACTGAAGAAGTAGCACATCTCCTTCATTTTCCCAGACGATTGTATGTCTTTTTGCTCTTCCATTTTCGTTGTTTTACCGGATTATTCAGTCTTAAACTGATTTATTATTTCATTTTTCGCTTGAGATGTGGCTTTCCGTGGAAATTCTCTGTATCCTTAGGACATTCGCAAAAGGGAAATGAAATATCACGCTCCGTTCTATTTTCTGTTTTGAATTGTTTAAAGGCATTTAATAGAGGCTTAAGGCTTTATTCTTTTACATAAAGATAAAAATATTTTGACTGGTTATTTTTACCCTAAGGTAACACACCCAATAAAGCTGTTTTTATTATAAATTTTCATTAGGGTATATAAGGGGGCTGTGAGCACGCGATACTCATTTAATACTAAACCTCAGTCTTGTATCAACCAAACATGCAAATCTGGATAAATGTTTATTTAGGATACTAAATCTTATTCTCAAGGAGCTTAACTAATTCATTGTTTAAAGTTTAAATTATAAACCTCAAGCATCGATTTCAGGTAACGATAGCAAAAACATGAAATTAAGTATATTAAATTTATGTTTAATTAATAAAGTTTACCTTTTTTGGCTTTTCTTTTATTTATTTTATTATAACTTCTTAGCTCAGTGCACAATTTCGCGCGATTTTTCTTTATTTTACTTTTATTTAAATAGTAATATATTTTAGCAATTTTCTTATTTTATGTGTGCTACAATTGTTGTGCTAATTTAAGAGACCTTTAAAATGCACAAGTTTTAAGTTTTTAAATATTTTTTTTATAATGTTATTCATCAAAAACATTTAAATTTTAACTTACTTATACTAGGTTTAAGTTACTGTTTATGAATATTTATTGTTTTTGTATTTAAACCTTTAAGTAATTTAAGTGTACAAAATTGTATTGTTAAAAATGGGTTTTTACATCATAGAAGGTTTGTTCTTTCAGATGGCATAGCTAAATAATAATTGTGATGTTATATAATCTGATTCTTGTTGTGCTAGAGCATTTTTTTCCCTGAATATAAATAAAACTAAAAGAAAATTATATAAAAGGATTATTTAAAAAAAGTAAAAAATAAACGTTCTTAAAACTAATATATTATATTTTTGAAGTAAAGTGGTGATATTAGTACATACATATTATTTTTTATCGAAAAATAATTTAGAACGTATTTTTAGGATCTTGATTTATTAATCTCAAGAGCCCCATTACTAAATCCACCCCTGCTGGGTATTTTAATAAAACACACTTTACTATATTAATGGCCTATTATTATTATTATTTATTAGTTCGCAGAAACTCTAAATCAAAACTAAGCTTTAAATAATTTTAAATGTAAGTTTTAATAACTGAATAATACATTATAATTATACATTAATATTACTGTTTGTTGAATCAAATTATTTGTATAAATGCTTGGGTATTAAAGTTATGTAGGTATAGAAACTATAATAAAATATTGTTTTTATTATTATTGTGTTTTAATAAAAAATGTATTTTTATGTAATGACTATATAATTTAAAACATAATAACAGTCTATTATATCTTAAATACTCTATATACTTAAAAATAAATAAATTAACTTTCCACCCAAAACTTTAACATTTTTAATTGTTTATTATCTGCATTCCATTATAAGTTAATACGATTTTTAGTATTTATTTCTGATTTATCTACGTTACATATTGTTAATTTAAGAAATACAGATAAACATTTAAGGTCTATACTTTTACACTATATTATATTATGTATAATGTAATGTTTTTCATTTAATAAATAAATATATATATATCTATATATATTAGGGTGTTTAAAAAAACAATTATTTTATAGTACATTAAAAAACAAAAAATTTGGCGCCTATTTGAGCCCTTAATATTAATATTAAGGTTTGCCTTAATTCATTTCTTGTTTTTCCATTTCAATAACAAGGAAAATTTTTTTTTATTTTAAATTCTTATTTAATAATAATAATTTATATAATATTTTTAATCTTTATATTTATGTATTTGTGCTTTTTGTGAGTTACGTATTGAATTAATTAGCAAAAAAAAGTTTACAGTCTCAGGTTAACAAAATTAAAGTGATTTTACAAAAAAAATAATATAAATATGGCATATATATGATATATTTTTATAGTTTTATTGGAAAATATTTAAAATTTATGTGTTATTTTTGATCGCTGATATCTTTGAAACGGTTGATCTGAAGAAGATGTTTTTTGTAGAGCGTAAAATTTCCTATAAATCCTTTCGCTTGGGTGTTGCAAAAACAAACCATTCCAAAGTTATAAGAATTCAAAATAATAAAAAAAATCCCTTGTTATTGAAATGGAAAAACCACAAATGAATTGAGGCAAAACTTAATATTATTATTAACGGCTCAAATAGGCGCCAATATTTTTGTTTTTTAATGTACTATGAATTTTTCAACACCATTAGAAGAAAAAAATAATAATAACACTCTAATATATATATATATATATATATATATATATATATAGATAAAGTATATGTATACATATACTAAGAAAGTATTAAAATATTTTTTTATTTTAAATATTTTGTTTGTAAAATTAAGTTTGGGCAATATTTTTTTTTAATTTGAATCTTGTTTAATTTTTACTAAAGGGTTTAAAAAATAAATGTAAAAAATATTGTACCTAATCATATTAAAGAATTTGTTCATTCAACGCATAGGACGTTTTCAATACGCTAAAGAAGTATCGCTGTTATCATCGTAACAAAAGTAGAACTTTTAATAATCAGCTGTCAAAAGCTGTTAAAAAATATAAAAAAAACCGTGGATCGATTTGTTAAGTTGTTGGGTGGGAGGAAATCCTGTGTTGAGTTTTTACCGGTTTTCCAATAAACAGTGTAAATCTGAATGAATAATAAATTGCATACAGTCTCTGTAAATATAAATTGTACCTATTAGATACAATAAATACACATTTTAGTAGTGATTAACGTAAAAAGTGTAAACATTTCAGTTCATTAAAAATCGTCAAACAAATGTCGTCTAAATTTAAACAGCATTTAGCATTATTGAAAGCGTTGATTAAGAATTCTTTAAAGTCTCCACTCAACGGTAAAATACCATTATATTATGTAGTATAGGTATATAATATTGTGTATATTTTGTTGTTTAAAATGCAGTTGTCGGCGTTTTTTAGAGAACTCAAATATAAAAATGATTGATTTCAAGGTTATGTTATGCAAAAATTATTTTTTACCAATTTCTTAAAAATGTCCAAACTTAAATATAAATTATATTAGGTAAAGTTATCATTAGTTAATTCTGTACCAACAAATGTACTTACCGAATTGGATCCTTTGGCAAAACATGAAAATGCAACGATTTTGGTTTTTGAATTTTATTTACAATTAAAAACACAATAATCCGAGTACTAAAAAAGTTTTTTAATTTTTTCCTTGCAACGTAAAACACAAATAACGCGCGCGATTTAGCTGTGCAATTGAACAAAATTTGTCGAGTAAGACTTCTGCCTTCATCTCTTTTGTAAAAAAACCTACCTATTTATTTAAAAATGATGGCTTTAAATTTATTGTCGACAATTCTTAAATTCACGCAATGCATTCGAAGTCCACCAGATGGCGCGCGCGTTGCGAAAACCTGATACTTATTTAGCGTATTGAGAAAGTGGCTCAGTCTTAAACTGTGAAGAAAATTGCTCTCTGTATCCACGGGTTAATGTCCAATGAGACGACGAGATTTTGATTTTCTCCAGGATATTATTTATCATTACTATAATGATTTGACATTTGCCATCAAATCTTTAGTTGTGTACCAGAATCAACAATAAGTTACGTCAAATTTACAATTAGCATTGTATTATTGTCTTATTTTTGTAATTAATGTAAATTCACAAAATATGTCCCCTTTTTTACAGATTTTATGATAGTTGTACAAGATTTGTGATAATTGTACAAAATTGCACTAAATTCTTAATAAAATTAGAAAAAGTATAGTGTTTTCCTTTCGGATGGATTACTCCAGTCGCCTTAGACTCGTTCGCAATTATGCATCCTCATGGGGAAAATGCCAACTTTCTCAATCGTTCAACAATATACTATTTATTATTCTCATTTATAAATAAACAACTTGAGCAAACACGTTTTTATTAGTTTAAAAAATTAATTTAAAATACAAAAGAAATTTTTACGTTTGCAAACTATTTAAAAAATGTCTTCATACGACTTCATCAAAATTTAAAAAACTGATCATAATCTTGTTATTTTTATTAATTATAATATAAAATATATAAATATAAAGATCAGGTTAATTCGTGCTGGAATACTGAAAATTTGGATTTTAATATGGAAATATATCCATTAAATGACCAAGTAAACAGTCTTTTTTTTTAAGCATACATCAAATATGTAATAAAATATAATACAAATTTTAAAATAAATTACCCTTTATTTTAAAATATAATGCAATTTAATTAAATTTTAATATACCACCTCTTATAGCCGCAGTGCTTGATGCAGCGTTTTATATAAATAATTAAAGAGGCTGGAAATATTAAAAAATTAATGCAAATTTTAATTTATCAAAAGTTTTTTTAGTTACTTTGATAAGTAGATATATCTTATATATGGATGAATCCCATACATGGGATTTTAGGTTGCATTATTTATAAAAATAGGAACCTAAATACGTAAACTTATTTCTTGTTTTAGGTGAGAAACTTCTTTAGAAAATTAAAAAATTAGAAATTAGAAAAGGTGGTAAAATTATTTAATTTATTATTATTATATTAATTTTACTAAACAAGATTTTTATAATTTGAAAAATAACTTACTTAATATATCTTACAAAAAGGGAGCGGCACAAAATGTTTATGTAAATGATCATACAATTGCTGACTTAAAAATTCAAATGTATGGTGATAGAAAAGTTTAAAAAAATACTTTCTCATAAAAAAGCAAAACTCGCATCATTCGAGTCGTTCGCGATTCCTAGTATACTAATTATACTAATTAGTGGTTGATATAACAACCACTAATTAGGACCATTTATATAGGTAAAATAGGTTAAATTAAATCGGGGTCAAATGAAATCTTGTTTTTCAAAACGGATTATATTCCATTGCCCTTAAGTTATGGTAAGCGTAGACAAATAGGTAATAAAACTAAAATCCTATATCTACTCTCTAAAAATGAATTAGTAAAAAATGACTAATTACTACAGTTATTAGTGACTGCTTTTTCACTTATACCATGGTTAACTATGGATACCATGGTATACCCAACATTTAATAGCCAATTCGTATGTAAAATTGTCCCATGAATCCGCTCTCTTAAAACGAATTAGTCAAAAATAACTAATTATAAGTCATATTTGTCTAATTGTCATAGCGAAAAAGCAGTCACTAATAATTAGTCAAATTCTACTGAATGAAATAGTCAAATTAGTGGATATAAATTTAAAAAAGTTTTGACCCAGCTAGGGATTGAAGTCAGGTCTGTCACTTGTCAAGCTTGTCAAGCTGTTGTCATAACCCATTCGGCCATCAGCCGCTCTTATAAAAATCAATTTTATTTAAATATTGTTCATAATATTTTAAAGTTGAATATATTATTTGTGTTGCTGTTTTGAGCTAAACTTTTTGCATCTTTATTTGTTTTTATGGGTCATTTAGATATATGCATTTAATTCAAATAATACTTTGTTGTTGGCCGCAAACGATTTAAGAAATTAGTTACTTTTAACTCTTGGAAATAGTCAAAGATGGTGACTAATCTTAAATTAGTCAAACTTTAACTATTTACGTGGTAAAAAATAACTATTTAAAATTGAAAACGACTATTTTATTAGTAAAAAATGCTGGTACTAATTCAAATAGTAGAATTTTGACTATTTCATTTTTAGAGAACGAAAATACCGTTTTTATCTCAAAAACTGTTCTACTTAACTTTTGACGACATTTTCGGATTCGGGAGACAATTTTACATAAGAATTTGCTATTAAATGTTGTGGATACAATGGTATCCATGGTTAACCATGGTATAAGTGAAAAAGCAGTCAGTAATAACTGTAGTAGTCATTTTTGACCAATTTATTTTTAGAGTGTATTGATAAGTAAACCAAAACTAGAATAACTTTTATTAAGTTATAAATTTTTGTAAAAAAAAATGTTATATTTTTTAAAATACAAACAATTTATTTTTTAATGATATTTAAGTTTTTTAGGCGTTTGGCAAACATAACAATATTATAATATATTTATAAATATTATAAAAATAATTAAAACACATAAATAATACAAATAAGAAAGAATTAAACCTACACCTCGCCAAAGTTTTTGCCCGACATTAATACAAAATATAATAAAAGGAAAATAATTAATTTTTATCAGAAAAATAATGTTAAAACATTTTGAGAATACAATAAATTAGGAATAAGACTTTGAATAAAGAAAATAGTTTTATAAAATAAAATTGTTATTATTTATATTTATATTTATGCTTATTGTTTTTAAATTAACTCAAAACAGAAAATAGCGGTAAAATTTTCCATAAAACTTAACAAACCGTGGGTCCGCAACGTTTAAGGTTCACATTTCCCCGCTACACACCATGCGATTTAGTAGATTTTCCACATAACCTAGCACATTGCCGCCGACGATATTCAGATCGATTTCGGTGTGCGCGGTGTAAATCGCACTAAGAGCAAGACACGCGGTTGCCGAGTCCGGGCGTTGGAAAAAGCTCACTGCCGCCCGGAGTTTGAATTTACCCGGAGCTTTGGACGTTTGGCGAGTTTAGCACGCGCACGCGCCCTCACCTATCAAACTAAATCTAGCTTTCGGGATGAAACTATATGGTGAAAAATTGTGCCACAACCCAACAGATACCGTTTTATAGTAAGCTATTGTCCTGTTAAAGTTTGCCCTATTACTCTCATTTATTAACGACACGACTTAAAAAATTTTTTATAAAGTTATGAAACAAGTTTATGAATCTCTTTATATTATTTATGGTATATACCTATGCATTGTGCTCTTACCTACTCTTAAGTATGACAGCTAAATCTAAAGAAATTATTGATTCTGGTTGCATAAGCTTCTGTATCGCTCTCAAGTCGGCTTATTCTTTCCATTCCACTTAACCCGGTCCTTCTTCTTCCTTCTCTTTTCTTTGGTCGTTTTCATCCCTAACTCCTTCATTTCATCTTTAAAATATCGTGGTCGTTTTATAATTAAGACGCGTTGAATATTCTCTTAATTTGAGAAATTTAGCCTACTGGAATTTTCAGGGTGTATATGATAATTTTATCCGCATTAAACGTATTTCAAACAGGATTTGCTTAAGGTGTTTTGTACAGTTTTAGAAATTTATATCTATATCGAATTTTATTTCGTTTTTTGGACTAAAAATAAAAACGTTTTAATAAATAAATACTGGCATAGAAAAACAATTTTTATTTGCTCTTAGTTATCAACTTATGACCTATCCCTAGAATATTTAAAAGCAAATTAATTTATTTTATGAGTTTTTATCTTTTACCCACGCATCATCTGACTTTTCTTCTTATATAAGTTAAATTTGGACTAGTCATTGTTGTTAAATTCTAAATAATGGTTATTTATTGAAGTAATGTTACACCCAAACATAAAATTATTCAGTAAAAATCTCGTTTGTTCTAGAATTTTAGCATCAGCTTTCTTGAATTTATTTTTGTTTTGATTAGACCTTCTCTCATACATGGAAACTTAACAGCCTGAGTGTGAGATGTAAGTCTAAAAGTTATTTCGTCACTGCTCCTTGACTTCAATAGGTATTGAAGTATTCATCTGTGACGTCTGGAAGAATAGGTGGTTGCAAGTACTTTTGTATTCAATCTATAACGGCTATGTATAATTTGGCATTAGGATTCATTTTAGTTACACGGAGAGAAAAGTATAATACTGATTACCATAATTATAATACCCTTTACTATATTATATATTACTATTTGGGACAACTATCTTGTATATTGCCAGTTACTATGCATATTTAGTAATTTTTAAATATCCATGTATATTAAACCTTAAGGTTATTATTCTCAACCAATTTTGTTTTTAATTCTTATTATAATTAGATAGTAAATTTTAAAAATAAATATAATAGATACGTAACCCATAACAAACTAAATAGTGTATTTTATTATTTTGTATAATACATTTAATTAAATCATATAATAAATATTACTATTTGTAGATAGTAAAATCAATTTACTATACGAATATATTTAAAATTAAAATACGTATTATACATTTTTGATCTAATAATATTGGTGTTGTAATCTTTACTAAAATTGTATAATAAAAAATACTATTTCGTATTACAATCTTTATATTTTACTGACGAATATTTAATATTGTTAAACTAAACATTTTTTAAAGTAAATTTTAATATATTTTTTTAACTATCTAAAATTTACTATACATTTCTCTCCGTGTATCTTTAAAACATAAGTGAGCTATTCAAATTTTAAGATCCTTGTAGCAGCGAGTTCAGGAATACAAATTAACAAAGAATTTCCAAAAATTGATGGACTTTACAAGAAACATCGATTTAAATTTCGAAGCAAACAGATGCATAAACTCTGACAACAAACATCGCATGATGTTTGTGATTTTTCGATAAATAACTCCCAATATTTTATTGTCTTTCATCAACCATCGAGCGACATCTTTCATGAGTCTCTATTTGCTAGATTGGAAGAACAATTACCACTAAGTGGTAAGTCTTATCATTTCTAATGTAATATCGTAAAAGTAACGCTGATGGCAACTGAGGGCATTGATGGCAGTAATATCAAACAATACACTATTTTTTATATAAATTCTTCAGTAATTTTTCAAAAGCATAGGAAGTCGGTCCAAATGTCGTACCATCCAGGTTTGAAACCAGGTGCCTTACAGGCAATTTTTTTATATGTAAAAGACAGATAATCCATTGTAAAGTATAATTCAATTTTTTAGAAAATAACTCAAAGATAGCAAGTTATATTCTCTTTGCCGTACCCTAACTCGTACTGTATATCCGATATAAACAGAGCTGATTTTTTGATAATATTTGTTCTTCTACAATTAATTGTAAGTATTTTTTGTTACCTTTCGCTGTTAAAGTACAAGGCTAATTTCATACCTTAAAAGTACTACAACAAATACAAATGCTACAGCATCCCTTTCACATACCCCATATCGGTTCATAATTAAAGTAGAAAGTGAGGAGATCTGACAGTTACTGTCAAATATTTGGATTAATCTAAATGAGTTTTTTACAGACTAGGACTTTACCAGATTGGTCTAAATTATTTTTAAAGACCAGGCGATAATCATTCACTTTATAAAGTGAACTACTATAGTAGTGAGTTATGACAATAATAGAGTTTAAATTATAGAACGCTTAAGTATAATGGTTTTTAATAAATCTTTTTTTTTTATATTTAGTGGGATTTAATATACAGGGTGTCCTAAACTAATTTAGCCAGGCTGTAGTTTTTACCCGTTTGTGATATTTCAGTTGAATAAAACTCAAAATAATTGTGAAAAAATGTTAAAAACCACCCCTAAAAAGTGTCAAAAATTCAAAATTAAACCATTTAAATTATATATACACTGTATATTATACAGTCAAAGTATATTATTAAGGTAAATAAAAAAAACTGTTTTAATAATTTTTCAGTGTTAAGTTCTATCGTAAAATTAAATTTAAATAATTGGTGATTATTTAACTTTAATATCGTTATTTGTGTGTTGATTGTAAGCTCGAGGTTGAGAATTTTGTTGTTTTATATTATAGGCAAGCGATATAAGTGGTGTTTTATGCCTATTTTTATCTTTTATTGTTTTAGTAAATTTTATGATGCAATTAAACGGTGCTATAATTTTGGATTTTTTATATACTTTTATATTCCCTAATAATTTGACCATGGTAGAATTTATGAAAAAATGTTGAGACCATGTTTGGAACCAGTGCGGGAAAATTATTACAAGAATATACATTTAACCTATTTGTTAGTAAATAATAAAATTAAAAAAATATTTTTTTTATTTATTCCAAACTTTCACGTCTGACATCATTTGGTGTATTGCGGAATGTCTATTTAATAATAGCATGTCATAATTCTTTTTGTTAATAAAATATAAAGGATTATTATTTAAGCAGGTTTTTTTTAGTTTTTTTATAAACAATTAATTTAGACCATGACCAGTTAAAAAAAGACATTTTGAAAAATAACTGCCACTCTAAGTAAATAAAAGAAATATAAATAAGCTGCAATAGAGGCAATATTTCATGAAACAAAATGGCAATCGTGTAACGGGTTGTTTCTGCGGTAAGCGGTGGTCCTAACGGCGCCTGTCTTGTCTATGCTAAATAGTTTAGCATAGAAATTGCGGAATAGTCAAACAATGTATTATATAAATGGTTTTTCGTAAAATAAGACAGCTCTACACATTTTTGTAAAAGGTTCATAAAAGCTTAAAATATAATAAATAAATAAAATACAAAATAAGCCATTTATTTTAATTAAAATTTATGTTATGTTTATTGAAATATTATTTAATTAAGTTAAATATTATTAACATAATACTAAAAGTAATAGTTTTCAATCAAAAAATTTCTGAAACTACTGAAAATAGCAAGCATTAATAATAATCAATATTTAATATATTCGTAGGTAAAATGATCTATCTATGATATTAATAACCAGTTGAAAATCAAGGAGATAGGAATTTTATGCAGAAAGGACAAAATTAATTATTTGTTTGCATAATAAAATATTTTTAATTAGTGGGTAGGTACCTACCATATTAAATCTTAAAAGATTTATATTACAACTAGAAATCAAAAATAATATATACAAAATTTATCAAAATTACCTAGCTTCTATAAAATAAGCAGGCACGAATTAAATTAGTTTTTCCATTTAAAAAATTCAATAAAATGATTTTAGAACGAGATTCACAAATCATTTTATATTTTTTTACAGCACAGATTCCAAAAAAATATTTTTTTAGTTACATTTGTTTTCATACGGTAGTTTTTATTTTGTATCTCACTAGGTCTCTTATGAGACAACAAACAAATTTTTAAAACAATCTATGGGTTGGGTTGGGGAAGTTACTTACACCTTAAGTGATAAAAATAAATATAACACCACGGCAAAATTTGCCATTTAATGTTATATTAAATTACGACAAATAAATAAAATAAATTCTTACGGTAATAAAGCTTATTAATTTAGTAACCCAAGGTACTTTTGAGGTGTTCATGGGGAAAGTATTAAAAGGGAAATTATAAATACAGTAAATAAAAGACAATTAATTATTTCAACCCAGGTCAAATACCCGAAAGGCTCCCTTTTATTTTTATATAAATATCGCTTATAAAACGTTCCAAAATGAGGGATTATGGGAGAAAGTTAAACGTAAAAAATATTTAAAATTTATAACAAACAATAATGATATTTATTTGGATAGAGCAACAACAATAACTGCAACCCAAACGACATTTAACTTATTTTTTGCAAGAAAACTCTGAAAGAAAGGGACATCCTACAAATCCCTAAAACTACACAATATCTCCTTACTGCGACCACAACCCACATAATTAAATAAATATATTTATAAACCATTTGATAAATAATACACCATACTAGAGCTTAGCTGTCCTATGTGTTCCTCGTTTTAATTTTTAATTTGTTTCTTTGTTTGTTTGCTTATTTTTAGTTTATTGGGTGAAAGTTGATTGAGTCTTAGTCTCTATTTTTGTATTTTAAATTTTAATTTATACGTCAAGTATTTCATTTGCATTAGGCCATCATCCAAATAAAGTTTTTATTATCATTTACTGTTGAATTTAAGATTACTGTTACATAATTTTTCATGTAATATATACGAGCCCTAACCACAAAATGTTCGGACACTTCATAATTTATACAGAAATATTTTTCGTGAATACTATCTCAAAATTATTAAAAGTTATAGCGATTTTTATTTTTAAAAAAGTTACCTTTTATTTTTAGCTTTTAAAAAAAGGCTTTTTTTAAACTTTTTTTTGTATGATTAAAAAAAGTTATAAATGGACCCATTAAAAAGATCATAAAATAATATACAAACCCTGAAAATTTGGTAAAAAATAAATTAGTTATAAAAAAGTATAAATAATTTAAAAATGCTATTTTTAAAGAGTTTTTGCAATTTTCTTAGGAAACGGGAGATTTTGCAGATATATATATCGTTATAACTTTCTTATTATTCATACAATTTTTACCAAATTTTCAGGGTTTGTATAATATTTTATGTTCTTTTAATGGGCCCATTTATAACTTTTTTACTCATACAAAAAAAAGTTAAAAAGTTAGCCTTTTTTTAAAAGCTAAAAATAAAAGGTAAACTTTTTAAAAATAAAAATCGCTTCGAGGGGTATATGCCAAAATAAGCTAAATTTTTCATAACTTCTAATAATTTTGAGTCGGGCAGTCAGATGAAACCAGACCGGCCGGCACCTAATAAATTTACAGAATACTAATTCAAAATGGGCTTGTTGTATCAGGACTCCACGGACAGTGGGGATAAATTCGCACAATTACTGTTGCTAATCACTCCAAACGTAATACCAAATAATATAAAATGACTCGAAAAATTACTTAACAAATTACGGGACATAAATGTGAATCTGCCAGTACAATTTAATAAATTCCGTATTCAAGAAAATCGATATTAATTAAACTTAATTTACACATCGTTTATGAAAAATTCTCTTTTAGAAATATTTATTAAAATAATTAAATAAACTTAAGTACAATCAATCAATTTAGCTAGATAAAATCCAATACGACCCTGCCCATTAAATTAAATGAAATCCCGTCAAACCCTGCTCTTTTAATTAGATAAAATCAAGTACCAATTGTTTATTATTTATAATCAAAATTATAATAACGGCAAGCCAACAGGGCAGAATTGGTCAATCTATGACGCCAAGTCAAATGATCGAATATTTACACAAGGCATTTGTGTAAACTAATTATACCAAAATGTTCCAAAATATTTATACAGCAATAATTTAGTTATTAAAATATACAAAGCTACAAATTTTAAATTAAATTTAACTTTTACATTCACCAAATTTACACCTCTTGTTCGCTGCACGGGCTCTTCTGGAATAATCCCTGTCTCTATTCTTAGTTTTCCCACCTTGACTACCGGCATTCTTCGCCCCTTCCTTTTCCCACTAAACAGGAGTGCCCGTCTACCCAATCGTTCGGCACTCGGTACGTCAAATACATTTATATACATGACTTTTTAAATACATTTATTTTAAACAATTAGGATCGTATTAACCCAAGGATTGTTTAGTAGGGGGGGTTATTTGCAGATCTCCTCAAGTGTGGCTCATTTGTTTGCGACTCACCCCTGTAAAATCTTTATTTATTGTGCGATTTTAACCGGATTTGTTTTAAAGTGTAGATCCTGATAAACTGTATATTTGGAGCAAAACTATCACATTTTTACAAAATACACGGCCAACTATGTCAGTTTTTCACAGTATTTTTTTAAGAATTTTTACTAGCGAATTGCACGGCACTGGATTTACCACCCCTCAAAACGACCCTATACTAAATTTTTAAGTTGGAACGATTTTTTAGCCAAATTAAAAATGAACAATAATAACTATTTACAAACATTTATTCTGTCAAGTTATCTATAAAAAAATATTGGAATAAAATTAAATTCTTATGCTTAGTTTTAACAAATAAAAAATGTAATAGAAACTTAAAACAACAATGAAACAAAAAATAGAGAATTCCAAAAATTCTCTACAATTTTTCGTCAACTTTACTAATCCACCATTTATTTCAATCCACTTTCATATTTGTTCTGGAGTAATGGCTGCGAAGAATTGTATTACCCTAGCCCGTAATTCTTGTGCAGTAGAGGTGACAAAAACCGAATTGTAGAGAATTTTTTGAAACCCATCGCGAATAACCCACCGTTGCAACGCGTTGATGCGAATAAAAAAAGAACTTAGGCAGCCAAAGAAGATCAATTTGATGGCTTAGAAATTGATTATTACAGTATATTTTTTATAAAAAAAACACTTACTTAAAACTGTTATTTCAAATTTCGCACTGCACTTAAGAAACAGAAAAATATGAGAATTTTAAACATTAATTTTGAAATTAAAACAACAAATTATTAATTTATATTGTTACTCATTTACTTTTAATGTTGTTTTTAGTTTTTAATGATACTTATATATAATACTTTTAGTTTGTTAATTAAAATGCAGCGTTTTATTTTTACAAGGTACATTGCCATAGCACCGCTGAATTTGCTGTCACGGGCAACTGTTATTTATTTATTAAACTCTTCAAATGGTCAAACTACCTTAAAAAAATCTTTGTGGCGAATTTCTCTAAACACAATTAAAAGTGTTTCTGTCAATAGTAACAAAAAATCAAGTTTAATTTTTCCACTATTCCAGAGCAACATGAAACTCGAAGATGGATTTAAAACTAATTTCCACAGTAAAACAAATTCGGCCAATGAGGCGGATTAAATATAACGATATCCACTAATTCTAGTGGCTAACGTTAACGACTCATGTTAGTGACTTGGCCTGATTAAATACTAAAATTGGCATAAACCTAAAAATACAGGGTGTTCCTTTTAGTTTTGAATTCAAATACAAAAAAATCGACCAATTTTGACAAATTCTTTATTAAGTTCAAAAGAAAACTTAAGTTCTTTTAAATAATATTGCCCAAATGTTGCCCATTTTTGTCCTGGCACTTGTCGGACTTTAAAATTTGCCACTACGATCCGACAAGTTAGCTCAGCTATGTCTTTGTCAATAAACAAAATTGTCGTTACTGGTGTGAAACGAACCCCAAAACAAAACATCAAATGCTTTTTTATATACAAAAAGTTTGAGACACCATTTCAGCATCCGGAATTAACGTAATAATGGCGAATTCCGAACGTTATGTTGACATGGTAGTTTGTTAACACATGATCTTCAAAAATTTATAGGATTTAAGCTAGAAACCGGTTTTCAACAAAAAGGAGCCACAACTTTAAATCGGTCTTTGCCCGTTGTTTAGGCGCTTTATCACGGAAAACTGATTTCCTGAAGAGGAGGTATAAATTTCCCCCCCGAAGCCCGTATTTAACTCCATATAACTCCAACTTTTGCTATTGGAATATCTTAAAAGTCGATCAAATTTTGGCATGTTAGGAGAAAAATTGGCATTATTTAAATAATATCATTTAAAAAAATTTTAACAAGTTTTTTTCAATAAAACATTTTTCAAAATTGGTCGAATGTTTTTTTAATTTGAAATCAAACAGATTTTATATTAATCCAGATCCACATAACTTTATGTTAAGTTTACAACCAACTGCAGTTATGTAATCTGTAAACTAATTAAACAAGTAGTTTTTAATTATACCAAAAATTTTGAAGATTTAATAAAAAAATTCTATATCAATAATTCAACCATAATTCTTGTAATTTTCAAAAAGGACCTTATGTTTACCAACCTTTTTGTAGACCCAGTAGCAAAAGTATTTGTTGGAAATTGGGAACTAAATGAAAATTTTAAGAAAATTAAAAATTAAAAAATTTACACATAGGTACCTTCATAAATGAACACGAAAATATCATACACACAGTTAAATAACACAACTTTCACAAAGAAATAATTTGTTATACATTGACAAAATAATCTGTAACTTTTGAAATTAACAAAATGCTTAAAAAGTTGCATATAACCTTTACAAAACTTTCGGTAAAATTAATATAAATAATTACAAACTAACAGTGTAAATGTACCAATGTTGAACCAATGTTTTTATTACATACTGAAACCAAAATATTATATTTCCCATAAATAAGAAAAATGGGTTTCGGATACTAAATAAGTTAAAACCTCAAATTAACTAATACCATAAAAAACACCTATATTCACTTAAATGATTTACCGTATCTATTATAGATTGGTAGGGTGTGTTTACTGGTTGCTAGAAATAATCCTTTGGTAAGTAATTTACTTACCGACGCGTTGTCTTATCGGTAAGTAAGTTACGTATAATTTGTCTGCATTTTCTTTAGATATTTATATTAAAAATAACTGAAATACCTTAATTTTGCATTTCACTGGACAAAATATGCTAACAGAACTTTTTAGTTTCTTTCCAATTTAAATTAGAGTATTTACAAAATATGAGTGATGTCCAATTTATACATAAACTATAGTTAGGATTATTCATAATAAAGGCAGAACCTTTTTGGTCTAAAATTGAAGAGATCACATTTATAATCTACATAGGCGGATGGATTAACGTCTGAAACCTAAGTTTAGTGTTTAATTATTTTGGGGTTAAATTAATTAAATTAGCAAATAAAAAAATTACTAAATCCTAAGGATTATTATTGTGTCACTATTCAAGGGGTAATAAAATGGTTGAATAACTTAACAGAGGTAATATGTTTATTAAATAAATATTTTACAAATCAACAATTTTATGTATTTCTAAATAATACTTTTATATAACCTGAGCAAATTTACTTTTGTTTAGAAAAAAATACTTTTCCTTGAGTATTATTATTTTTTATTATTTATTACTAGTTTTTTAAGTACAGTAAATTTAACAATTAAACACACAGTTAAGAAATATATAAATAAAAACTTAAATTATTAAAGCTAAATTTATTAATATATTATTTTTTATAAGAAATCATATTAGTATATTTTATCAGGCCTGCCTGACAAATATTATACCTTTTATTTTTTTTTGTAATAAATGTTTACGTATAAACCTACATTAAAAGCTATATTTTCTAAATTTCTTTGTCTATTTTAGTATTGTACCCATAATTCTTTAAATTATTAAAATAGACTTCTGCAGATAACAATTTCATTTTCCAGGGTCTATTGTCGAAGCTTCCAGCGTTTCCACCATACTCATTAGGCAAAATATCACGATTAAAAAAGGCGTGTAACGCATTCAAATCAGTGCCATGTAAGAATATCTAAAAAATATAAAAAGTTAAAAAAAAAACATTATTTTTTAAGTGGAGGTTTTTGCGGACGAAGTAAAACAAAACTTAACATTAAAATTAAATTAACATTACGTTACGTTACGCCCGATTGGGCGGTTTATCGCAAATTTGGCGATTTTAAGAAATAATTTGAGCCTGGTTTTTACAAAAATTTTAAATCCAATTTGGGCGATGTCTGAAAAAATAAATATTCATTTAAATTTAAGCTGTGTTGCTTAAACATTTAAAAAATTTCACCTTTGATGAAAATTGTATTAACGGTAATTTCATTAGCAACCTATGAATTGAATATTTATTTTTTACGAAAAATGTACACAAAAAAATTATTTACCATAAAAAAAGTCTTGTTCTATGAAAATATTTAAAAGATTATATGCATATTAAATTAATTTTGTTTATTTCCTAGCCCCTGGAAAAATTATGGTAACGAATTTAATTTGTTTCTTGAAAATTAAGCAAGATAGAGCAAAAATGTATTGTATTGTATTTTTAATTTCTTAATATAAAAATTATATCAAACTCATAAAAAAGCAGTGACGGGACTATATTTTTTTATTAACATTAACAAAGCTTTAAAGAATACGTAAAGTATATACATATAAGATCAAATAAATTTTTTGGCTACTAAATTGTATCGATTAAAATTTGAGACACTCTGTATATTAATAAATTTGAAATAACCCAAAAAAATATTCTGCAGTTTTGGGGGAGGTGGATAAATTTATATAATTTTAGTCTCAATTAAAAAAAATAATAATGAAACTTATCAAGCACAAATAATTTCCATAAGTTTAAAGTACCTATTACTTTAAAGAAATATTTATTCAATTTAAAAAATATTATAAAAATAAGGCCGCAAATTGGTTTATTTTTAAATACAACTTTAAAACAAAAAATTAAATGACCTTCTATTAACACGTTAACTGCCGTGAGTTTTTTTCAAGTGGGGTCAGCTGGGCCACAATGTTTTCCCAATAAAAATATGCCACCGGTGCACCGCGGTGTTATAATACAATAGCACATTTTTTTACTATTCCGATCTACCCCCGTGCGACTATAACATACACGCGGCGCGCCGCGGCGTAGGATTGCAAAAATGTACATTTGCGCCACGTGTATAAATTGAAATAGGTACATACAAATTTTATAAAAATATTGACAAATATTGTCTGTCAAATCATTAATAATGGATTAAATTCTTTTTTCCATTTTCATCATCGACATTTTTATTATGCATGTGACTTTAAAAATGATTCATTTTTGGCTTTATTTTTTGACAATATATATTTTTGAATGAAGGGTTGCCATCTTAAAAATTGTTAGTAAAAATTTCGGCTAAGTGAATACCAGTGTACATCAACGCCACAGCATCCTCTCTTCACATATACGTAGCTGAAATAATTTTATTGTGCGTGTATACAAAATCGTACACATGGCGCACTAGACCGAACTCGCGTGTATACTTTTTCATACACATGGCAGTTAACGTGTTAAATTTTTTTAACTTAAAAGGTATATATTTTTTCATAACAATATACATTCATCTAAAAATATTAATTAAAAATTTAAGAGGAAATGTTTTAATAAAAACTTAATTTATTATTTAAGATTATTAAATTATTGCATTCATAATGTATTATGTTGACCACTATCTAAAGAATGTAGCTAGTATAAAAATAAATTGGGAATTGAATTAAGATTTTAGGATATGAGTTTAAAATATTGATACCATTAATTTTAAAATAAAATAAAACTTTTAAAACATATTACTAGAGTTATACTCACCCTTTTTCTTATTTTTTCCTTTAAAAACGGCTTGAGGACCGTCATAACAGCGTCAAAGTAAAACGGTTCGTTAACAACATGAAAACCCTTGAACCTCAATGGAAACGTTTCTTGGACCAGCTCGACCATTCGTTTAGCGTAATAAGGCGTAAAAAATTTGGCATGTTGCAAGCTCAGTCCGGACATGTCCAAAATCACAGCGATACCGGATATTTGTGTTTCCGGTTCCCGGACTATGTCCTCCAAGGCCAGGATATTGGCCCGGAAGATGTCTTCTATGGTCACGCGGGATGCATCGAAATAATCTAAAAATAAGATATAAATTCTAATTATAAATATAAAATGACGAGAAATTATTTATCAATGGTACTGCTTTTTTGATGTCAACATTCTGAAATTTTGCATGTATATGTGGCTCTCTAAGTCAAATTTATAGAACTAGAATTTCTCTATAATCCCAATTATTTATTTGCTTTTCTTGTTTATTTCCTCCAACTCCATTCTTCCTTTAGATTTAAGTTAGGGAAGTTTTACTGTATGTCTAAACTATAGTATAGACAGGTTTCAAATAATTTTATAAAGTATCTAAGGTAACTGTCGAGAGGGTTTGAAGGAAGAATGTTAAGTTCTTTACATATAAATCTGTTTTTCCAACTAATTGGTTTACATTTTTGATATCATTTTAAATTCTTACCATCATTCCTTATAAATTGGCTATATAATGTCCTATACCTAAACTTTTTTTTTGAACCAAAAAAAGCTTATAACTTTTTTAATATTAGGTTTGCTAATATTCGGTTGTATTTATGAAATTCTAAAGCATTGTTTTAAAGATTCTATGTAAATTATTGTAATATTTCTAAAAAGACATTTGAAAAAAAAAACAATGTGATGGTAGCTAACTTAAAACAGCAATAACTTTTTTATTCTCAATGGAACGCCCTGTATATTTTTAGATAATTTAAGATGAAATTATAATACATTTCATTGATATAACTATTCCCTATACCTAAAGTTAATATTAAGAAAGATATTTTACAATTACCCTAATATATGAAGAAAAACTGATAAAATGTTGCTCATGTGTAGGTATTAATTTGGTATGAATAACAAAACTTTCCCGATATTTATTAAAGGAAAATAAATACTTAAAAATATTTATTCTTAATGGATAACCATTTCATGCATCTAGTAACTAAGTTACTCAGTATAGTCTGACAAATCATCATGGAACGTTTAACGCTTACAAATTATCGAAATTTACCATCAAAACCATTGTTTTGTGCGCCAAACTTATCGTGCTCTTCGTGAATTTTATGGTATCCATACGTCCAATCGAGCGATGTATTCGCCGAATCATCAATAAATTTCGAAAGAATTTTACGCTTTTAGATATTAAAATACAAGAACAGAAACAGAGCGTTTCCAAAAAAATATCATCGCTGTTGCCGACAGTGATGAGAAAGACCCAAATTTGTCAATTCGCAGAAAGTTGAGCTTTGTTATTGGACTACGTGGGAAATTTTGCGGAAATATCTTTATTATCTTTGGGGTAATGTTAAATCTTTGGCATATGTAAATAAACCAGCAACTATTTAAGACTTGGAAGCTAACATAACTCGGACAATTGCGTAAATAAGGCCTAAATTGCTTGATAAAGTGGTCGGAAATTGGATTAATAGAATTCGCTTTGTTACAAGTAGCCGCGGAGGACATGTGTCCGAAATTATTTTTAAACAATAATGTCATTGAATGTTATTTCATATAAAATAAATATTTTTAAGATATTTAATTTGGTTGTTATTTAATTTAAATCTAAAGTTCGGACACTCTAAAAAAATCACCCTTTATAACAAGTTTCCGCATGTTCTAGCCAATAAGTTCATATTGTCCATGAAGAATAAACAAGTTTATCAAAACTTCATTTAAATAGTGATTTTCCTCCATTTTAATGATTTTATTAACAATTTTTGTTAATTTAAAACATTATTTTTATTTATTTAATGATTTTTTAATCTTATTAGTAAATAAGTAATAATATACTTTTAACGAAGGTACCGGGCGTTCAATCAATAAATTAATATATTATTTCTTGTCATATGAATACATACAGTTTTTGAAAACTCATTCCACTTGTATTGTTTATTAATTTTAAAATTTTAAAATTTGAAATTTAGGTATAGGGAATAGTTATATTAATAAAAAGGTATTATAATTTCATATTTAATTATGTAACAATATACAGGGCGTTTCATTAAAAATAAAAAAGTTATTGCTGTTTTAAGTTAGCTACATTCACATTGTTTTTTATCAAGTATCTTTTTAGAAATATTACAATAAATTACATGGAATCTCTTCAGGATTCCAATAAATCCAACCGGAAATCAGTAAACCTAATATTAAAAAAGTTATAAGCTTTTTTGTTGAGGGTGAAACTGACCGAATTTTACAAAAAAATTATATGGTATAGCCATTTTATAAGGAATGATGGTAAGAATTTAAAAATGTAAAAAAATGTGATGATCCATTTAAAATGACAAAGTTGATATCGCTTCCGTTAAAACCGGAAGAGGAATTTTGTTCAAAATAATTTAGAAAAATAGTTTAAATGATATTATAATTGCTATAAAAATTTCAATTCGATATCTTTTGCCGTTCTCCATAAACGTCTAACCTACCATCGCTCCCAACTTAAAATCTTGTTGAAAATGTTCAAAAAAAAATTGCCTGAAAATTTGAGCCCTTAATACTAACTCAAAGTACTCCACCAAAGCTAATAAAGAATTCCCATTTAAAATACACGTAAAATTTGATTATTTTTTTTTAAATATCTATATCTCAGCCGCATTTTATGCTATTGGATTGTTTTAAAAAGTTCTACAAAAATGCTTTATGTACCATAGCTGTAATCTGCACCTGTGGAATGGTACGGGTCACTAAATCTTATTTTATTGAAAAATTCTCATATTTTTTAAGATATTTCAAAAGTGACTGGATTCTTTGAAAAAATGTAAAGGACAAACTTGTAGAAAATTTAATTTTCTTTAAAAAAAGGTCCTCTCAGTTGAATCGCTAAGATTGATATTTGTTGAGATATAAACCGTTTACATTGACAATTTATGAAATTTTTAGGATTTTCGTACCAAACTTTTAATAAATGATGATTTTCAATTGTTTATCAGTACAATTTCATCCAATTACGTTTTTTCTACAGTCCGATGATTAGAGAAAAATATATAACTAAAACAATCAAGCATAATTATTAATAACATAACTTTATAGAGAAAAGATATATCTAACCTAAAAATTGATATAACGAGGTGTATTACATACTCCGCGGGCGCGTGCTATAGTGTTTCCGAATGCTTGCTTCAAAAAAATAACGAGTTTTTCTCTATTTCTAATTATGTATTCTAAAAAAGAAAGTACTTTGGAGCAGTGTTGCCGCGCTGAATTTCTAAAATGTACTGAGCGGAAGCAATAAAATGTACTAGATTGTACTAGATTTACAATAAAGTGCAACATTGCCGTTTTTCATAGAATGTACCTTAGGGTGTTTAAAAAAAAACTAAAATTATTTTTTTTTCTAATGGTGTTGAAAAATTAATAGTACATTTTGGCGCATATTTGAGCTCTTAATATTAATATTAAGGTGTGCCTCAATTCATTTGTTGTTTTTCCATTTCAATAACACGGGAATTTTTATTTTTTAAATTTTGAATTCTTATAACTTTGGAATGGTTCGTTTTCGCAACACCCAAGCGAGAGGAGTTATAGACAATTTCACGCTCTACAAAAAACATCTGAAGGTCAAATTTTTCAGGTCAACCGTTTCAAAGATATCAGCGATCAAAAATAACACTAATAAAAAATTTCAAATATTTTCAAATTAAATACAAAAAAATATCATATGCCATATTTATATTATTTTTTATGTAAAATCACTTTAATTCTGTTAACCTGAGACTGTAAACTTTTTTTTATATATATATGACATATTATATGTATATATATACAGTATGTCTCAGTATCTTGGAATCATATGGAAAACTTTTTTATTATTAATTTTAGGAAAAAAAGATATTCTTTATAAAAAGTTCTGCATGGTGTACAACTTAAAATGCAACCCACAAATATTAAATTTTTTTAGTCGTATACAGGGTATGTCCTAAAATATGAATTTGACTCAATAGTAAAGTACCTTTATATTTGACAATATCGAAAATTGTTATAAAGAAAAGTTAATCAGAACTAAAAACTACGTTTAAATATGCAATTTCATCCATTTACATTAAAAAATTAGGTTTTGTTAATTTTTTTAATATTTCTATTTAAATTAACATTTATGTGTTATGATTACAAAAAACATGAAAACCTTTTCGTTTCTAAATGTTTTCTAAAAATTTTGCAATTTTAACAGATAAATGTTCATTTAAATAGAAATATTAAAAAAATTAACAAAACCTAATTTTTTTAATGTAAATGAATGAAATTGCATATTTAACGTAGTTTTTAGTTCTGATTAACTTTTCTTTATAACAATTTTCGATATTGTCAAATATAAAGGTACTTTACTCTTGAGCCAAATTATTATTTTATGACATACCCCCGTATACGACTAAAACAATTTAATATTTGTGGGTTGCATTTTAAGTTTTACACCATGCAAAACTTTTTATAAGGAATAACTTTTTTCCTAAAATTAATAATAAAAAAGTTTTCCATATGATTCCAAGATACTGAGACATACTGTATATATAATATACATTGTATATATAAGTATATGTACCTTTATATAAATAAAAAAAATTGTCTATAACTCCTCTTGCTTGGGTGTTGCGAAAACAAACCTAATGATTGGCAAGTTGCCACACAAAATTCGATTTCGTTACATTCGATGCTAGTCATTAGGTTTGTTCAGGTTGCACTGGCAACGCTGCACTTCTTAAGTCAATTAAACTTGACGTAAGCAATGCGATGTTGCCACACAAAATTTGATGCCGCGTTATTCAAAGTCCGGTGTCGTTTTTTTCGGTAATTCTCCTTTATTTTTCACAATGTTAAAATGTACTAGACTAAGGGACATTTGTAAGAAAATGTACTTTTGTACTGAGTTCTTCAAAATGTACTAGATTTAGTACAAATGTACTAGAACGGCAACACTGCTTTGGAGTACCTTAAAAACACTCAATAATTTGGATCACGGCAATTTTAATATTTAGAAAATTTTGCTGTTGGCAAAACATGTTGTAAAACAAGGATAAGGAATATTTTCATTTAGATTAGTGACTCTACGGATATGTCTTTAAGTATTATGAAACGAAAAGGAAATGACTTAGCAACTTTAAATGTTTCTGAACAATTCTTGCACAAAAATGTTTGATGCAAAGGATTTTGAATTTTCGCTTGGTCCTGACTATTCCAGGATCATCTTGATCACGAGAGAAGTTTTTTGCCTTGCGTCGAGTTAAAAATTACTTGCGTTCGACAATGTTGCAAGATCGGCTAAATCACAAAATCATCTTGCTTTCTTACCCATAGGTAAGCTCGATTTGAAAGTGCTTATAAATGATTTTATTTTGCGAAATCCCAAACGAAGCTCAGTTTTAGCTATGCTTAAGTAAAAAAAGTCAAGAATAAACAATAAATTAGTCTTTAATACCAACATGCCTTATTATTTATGAACTTATTGAACAATTCCGGGACCCTACCCCGAGGTTTTACTAACCTGGATTTATAATGTTTCGTCGGCACTGCTTACAATTTCTGACGTGAAAGCCTCATATTTAAAATAATAAAAATCTTACCAACTCTTATGATATATATCCTTCTGCCTAGCTGATCCCTCTGAGGAAGCATTGTTTGAGCTTGCAATTCAAAAACTTTTTCACACTCCGAGGGTATGGGACATCCAAATAATTCAGGACATTTCAGTTTCATCAAGTAATATCTTTGAAGCTAAAAAGTATTTTATGACATTCTAGTTATATATTAATACAACTTTTATATATATTTTTTTTTATTACGAATAACTTTATATTTCATCATAAATATAAGTAGGATAGAAGTTATGATCAAATATAAATTTTTATTGCACGAATTAAATTTAACGAGCCAACTTAAATCATCATTAACTTTGTGTATCATCTTTATAACTTACCATGTGAAAAGCCTTTTTATTGTCGTACTTTCTCGCTCTAAGAAAACGTATTAAAAACTCATCTTTATTTGGAACGGTTAAGTTTGTGTCATCTAAAAATAATATTATTTTATGCTGAAAATGTTTTAGTTTATTTATATTATAAAATAGACAAATTAAAAAACATCTCAGTCATAAAAAAATAAAATCGTTGGTATTTTTGTACAAAGTTATAATTTTAACAAAATTTGATTTCTAAGTATAATAACTTAAAAAGAGAATAACTTTTTGTTGATAAAATTTTATTCTAATAGTCAACACAATATACCAATATAACCAAATCATTAATCAGACTGCTGACTAAATTTTGTTTGAGTCATTTAATGAAATTTCACCTAATGACAAAAGCTCGACATCTCAGATTTTACTAAAAGTTTTAGGATTTGAAGATCAATGCTTGGAATGAACTAAAATAACAATAATATTTTTTTATTTAAACACCCTGAGAAATTAGGCGAGGCTATGTTGACTGGTTTGCATAAAATATTACCAAATCTGTTTACAAGAAATCCTTTTGTAACTTTTTTATTTATTAATATTTATTATAGTTTAATATTTTGTTTTAACCATAAAACAATTTACTTTTAATATATATACCTAAAATTATACAATTTTTTTTACAAGTGCAGTTTTTTTTAGTGCTAAATTCGCGCTTCTTTTAACTGAAAAGTGTATTTTATACCATTGATATTATGTAGTAGGCTTTGGAAATTTGATTTGATGCATATTTTAAAGTACTTATAAATATCGATTAAAATATAAAATGCAAAATTATAAAAAAGTACCCAAATAACGGGAAATACCATTTTTATTATAAAAATTTCCCATTTTTGGCGAAAAAATGCATTTTTACGTCTAGAGGGACTGAACGAAAATTGTTCAAAATTTAACAGAATGTTCTGCTCAATATATACTAAAAAATGTAAAAAAAAAATTGTGTATTTGCATTGCCAAGAAGATACAACGGTTTAAAATGCGACAATTTTTATAGAAAATGGCACTAAATTTATATATGATATTTATTTAAGAAGGCTTTGATAGAAAAGTCAAACTATATTTTTTACATTTAAAAAATATTTACATGTTGATATGTTGACATTTTTACATGTTTTAAAATGTGCTCCGTTGGACAATTCCTGAATGAGAAGTGTCGAAAACTGATGAATTGTGATATTTTATTACAAAATATCGAAGAACCTAGTTCAAACTCTTTTAAAACTAAGAGTAAATGATAAACAGTGTGTCCCTATCATTTAAAAAAAAATATGTGTATAAATATTTATTAATTTACTTACCTTTAATTTACCAGTTTCTGATTTCATTGACGAAATATTATTAGCAATAGATTCTTTAATCAGTAAATGATAAACAGTGTGTCCCTATCATTTAAAAAAAATATGTGTATAAATATTTATTAATTTACTTACCTTTAATTTACCAGTTTCTGATTTCATTGACGAAATATTATTAGCAATAGATTCTTTAAAAATCAGTATATTTCAAAATATGCATCTTAAAAAAAATTATTTGCGTCCCATGTTAAAAATTTCTCCTCCGTTGTACAATTTGAAATACAAAATTTTCACTGGGTAAATAGTCTGGCCACTATACATCCCTTTTTTATGTGTTATAAAGATGAAAATAATGAATTATGTAAAACAAGTTGTTTATACTTTTCTTAAAGAACTTAATTTCATAAAATTAAATTTTTCGCAAATAAAAAAATAATATATTTTACTTATTGATGTGGGGACAATATAAAAATAAATATAATTTCATTAATTTGGCATATCACAAAAATGACTTTGGTTTGGAGGCAGAGTGGCATTTTTTTGCCACATCGCACCTTGTGATGGAATAGGGACCGTTAAGAGATTGGTTTCAAAAGCAAGCCTGCAAAGACAATATAAGGATCAAATTGTATTACCTTTAGACATATTTTGCAATGAAAATATAAAAGGAATACATTTTTTTATATAAAACCTAAAATAATAGAACAACAAAAATTAATCCTTGTACTAAAAATACTAGAAGTTTTCATTCATTTATGCCTAAACATTTACAAATTATTCAGGTTCGAAGTACATCAGAATCAAACTGTTTTATAAATAAAAGGAACAAAATTTGAATTCATTATTAATTATGTTAAATTTTATTAAGGTAACCTTTTTTAATGTTATTAAATTTAAATTAACAACTACCTTAATAGATTAATAGATCAATTTAAGATTCCATGTAGAAAAACAATATAAACGTTACCTTTAACATAGTTTTGTATTATAAATGAAGTAACACGTTAATATAAGCATTGTTCACGATAAAAAAAAAGTTCTCTGTTAAAAGTATTGCTAAAATACTCATATTTATTCACTCAGGCATAATCCCAAAATTTTTCTTGTGTTAAATTAAATAAGTGAATCTGATTGGTTGAAATCATTTAACAGTAATAAAAATAACATAGGCGATCCATCATAGCACCCAATATGTAATCATTCTGTACCTTAAGATAACAATACAAATATTGTTTGTTTTATTTTATATTAATTATTATGTAAAGTCGTCGCGGCGAATGTTTCAAATTGCGTCATTAATGTCAAATGTCAAAAACCGATTTCTCGACATACACTTAACCTAGCGGTTACTTGGATTTTATACGTAAAAGAAAATAACAATAATTGTAATGTATGTGCTTAGTTCAGAATTTGATGACGCAATTTGAAACATTCGCTATATCCGTTATTTTGTTTATCATAATTATAAAATAATTATTTAATGTTTATGAAGCTTAAATGTTTACTATTTTATATTTCTTTTTTAAACTCTTTTAAATATCATTTTTTTTATCAAAGCCATCTTGACAAAAAAGACCAAGAAAATAATTCCATATTCTATACAATTTAGAGTATTTTAAACCGTTGTATCTTCCTAGCAAGGTTAATACACCAATTTTTTTTTACAGTTTTTAGTTTATATTGAGGAGAACATTCTGTTAAATTTTTGAAGAGTTTTCGTTCAGCCCCTCCGGACAAAAAAATGCATTTTTTTCGCCAAAAATGGGAAATTTTCATAATTAAGATGGTATTTCCTTCAAGTTGGATACTTTTTTATAATGTCGCATTTTATATTTTAATTAATTTTTATAATTACTTTAAATAAAAATATACACCAAATCATTTCCATTATATAATATCAATGGTATAAAATTGACATTTTCAGTTAAAAGAAGCGTAAATTTAGCACTAAAAAACTGCATTTGTAAAACATTTGTATAATTTTAGGCATATATTTAAAAATTACATTGTTTTAAGGTTAAAACAAAATATTACGCGATACAAAATATTAATAAACAACTAAGTTATAAAGGGTTTTCTTAGACACCGATTTGGTAATTTTTTATGCAAACTGGTCAACATGGTCCTGCCTACTTTCTCAGGGTAAAAAAATAAATTGTGGCATTGGTCTTCACATCCTGAAAGTTTCTAGAAAATCCAATAAGGTCAGCTTTCAATTTTTGTCAAATTTGGTGAAAAATAATAGAATGACTCGTTTTTTTGTATATTTTATAAAATAACTTTAAAGAAATATAAACTTGCTTTAATGAATATTTTATTTATGTTTATTGCAAGTTCTTCTAATTTGACTTTTTTTCTGGTTAAATTTAAATATAACTTACTGGTAACCATACCACGTAGCGCATCGAGCTCCGCGCGGTAATTCTCCGGAGTCTCGTTTAATTCTTCTTCCGCTCTTTTTTGCCACTCGGGGCCCAGCAGTCCTGCGGGATTATCCTGCGAACCGGCGCCGACCGTAGGCCTATAAGGTGATTTTTCCGGTGAGCTTTCCATTGCTTATTCATCTGTAAATAAACGAAAAATAAATAGTTAAACGGTATTTTACTTGCCAATAATCTGAAAACGGTTCTGTGAAAGTATCGAAAGATGTGGATGGTTTTGTCAACATTCCTAGACATCACAACGATAAATTGGTTAACCTAAAGATTAATACAGCTACATAATACTGTCTAACCCATGTTTATTTTAAATAGGGTCGGTTTTCAATCTCTGGTTAAAATTCAGTTAGTTAGATAGATAATTTCATTTATTTAGACAGATAGTTTCTATAAATATAGACATTATTGTTAATTTTTTTTATTTATTTATTTATTTTCGATCTCCAAGGTCGCTTTAAAACTATACAATAAAACTTGAATAAAACCTAATGATCTTCAAGACAGCCTTAGGACCATCATAAAGCAGCTTCTAGCCAAAAAGGGTCCATCCGAAAAGGGTCTTCAAGACTAAATTTTAAAAGTATATTAATACCATTAGTTTTTAATTTTATATTCATAAAAAGTTCTTTAAGGCAACTTTAAATTTATGTGTTACAACTTATTTGCATTTAAAATATATTTGCTGCAAACTAAATTACCCTAAGAATCAATATAATTAATCCTAAAAGGGTTTTATTTTATTTACTAAAGTAGGACAATTTTTGTGTGAAATAGTTAATGGCAGCGTGGAGATATTTTATACATAAGATAATAAAAAATATTCAAATGCAAACTATTATGGTAAAATATTCAAAAACAGGTGGCACTTTTCTGACAAAATATATTAATATGTTTTTTTATATTAAAAAATATTTTAAAAATATCGTCAAATTTAATTTTACATCCAAAAATCTAAATGCTTTTTTTTATTAAATTGCATGTTTGGACACATCGTTCTACAGTTATTTAGAAGGAATAAAAGGTGCATATTTTTAAATATTATGATTTTTTCTTTGGCTATTAAAAATGAGTCTGTATTTTATATAAAACATGGCGCGATCTAAATTAAAACTGATTGCAAGTTTATATAACATTTTAAAAGTTACAGGACTTTTAAGTACAACTTTACAATTACTTTTGAAAACGTCAATTTACTCTTCATTTAAAAATTGTGATCGAACTCATGGCCTTATTGATTTAAAGTGGTCTGGCGTGCGATTGTGCCGGTTTTTTTCAATTACTTAAATTAATGAATTAAATTAATTTAAAATAATTGTCGCTAATATTTTTTATTTTAAATATGTGTTCTAATTTTTTTCACGTATAAAGAGATACACCAAATGCACTGGTTCACTAAATTTGCTTATTTAGAATATGTCTTTATCCAAATGTATAGCGTATAGTTAAAATGCGTCTTTTTGCTAAAAGAATAAGTTAATAATAATGAGATGCGTCTTTTTGGCTTACACGGAGAGAAATGTATAGTAAAATTTACTTTAACAAATGTTTAGGGTAACAATATTATATATTCGTCAATACAATATTTAGATTGTAATACAAAATACTATTTTTTATTATACAATTTTATTAAAGTTTACCAATACCAACACCAATATTACTAAATCATAAATGTATAATAAATATTTTAATTTTTAATATGTTCGTATAGTAAATTGATTTTTCTATCTACAAATAGTAATATTTACTATATGATTTAATCAAATGTAAGGTACATCTAATATTATAATATATCACACATTAATAAAAAAATTTAGTAAAAATAAAGATACTTTTATGTTTAAGGTAAATAAACAATATATATTATGTAAAAATAATATACAATATAGTAACTCATAACATTTTAAACATTCAATTTTCTTAGTTTCTTCAAAAAACTTTCTTGACCCATTACTGGTAATACTTATAAAAAAGAATTGAACCTACTTGGTTGCATAGTATGTACCGATTGCGGCAAAGGCCACGTGATGTTCTTACATCTCGCCTCTGTTGGTTTATCAACCATATTATATAAGCTCACGTATTTCTTTGTTTTGGTTGTGTTCTACTACTATAAGTTGCTCGACAGTATCGAGTCGAGAGTGATGATAATGGAAAAAATCTAATTAAAATAAGAATAAAAAAAGAGTATTGGTTGAGAATAATAATATTTTACCTTAAGGTTTAACATAAAAGGATATTTAAAAAGTACTAAATATACATAGTATTTAGCAATATACAAGATAGTCCCAAATAGTAATATAAATTATATTATACTTTTCTCTCCGTGTAGGATGGCAGGATAGTCAATTCTCGGTTACATTTCCGCAAATAACAACAATATATTTCACAACACATTTTTTCACTTTAAGGCGCAAAAATGTATTTAATAATTCAATAATTATGATTGACATTAACATTTGCAAATAGCTATTGTACAGATGTTTGCAACTTACAAATAGATATTGTTTAGGGATTGTTGCTGTAGAGGGCAGTGGTGGGAGAGTTTGCAATATATTGGTGGTATTATCTTTGAATATATCCCCCTAAAAATAAAAGTGTACGGGTCCGAAGATTTTTGTTTATTTTCACATACAAAGCCGTAAACCATGCTGGACTTTTTTCGATGGGCCACCCTGTTTGATAAACTTAGGTAGAGGTTCAGAATGACATTGTATAAAAAAAATATTTTTTTTTAAATAAGGCCAATGCGATCTAACTAGAGATTAGAGAATACCGAGATCGGTTAGTATTTTAGCCAAAACATGTGGAGTGAAGCAACAAAAAATAAAATGTTGCGGTGACGTCGGACCCCATGATGTTTTAATCTGTTAAGAAATATGCCTTGAATGTGTTTATATTTTGGAATAAAATTCATAATTAAAAATGCTTCAAAGGCGTTCAATATTATTTAAAAGTTCTATGAAAGGGGTAACAAACAAGCAGTTAGGATTTCACATTTAAAAATATGCTTCGAAGGAAGACAAAATAATTAAAAAGTACTTCGAGAAAACACAAAATTAGAAAACAAGTAATAAGAAGGGGTGAAATATCTTTAATATATATAGTTCCACAAACATGTTTTTCAAAGGGACCCAAGATCATTAATTAATTATTATTATAATCATTCTAACAATATGTAATAAATTAAATTTAAATAAAAGCACTTATTATATTATTTAGTCCAATTATTACTGCAATATAATACTTGTTTAAGTCATTAGGCCAAGAAGTGAGTATTATAATAATTGTGGTTTGAAGGTCGACGCGTAGCAGAGTCTTACAATTAAGCGAAGCACAAACAGACCTTCTGGATCAAATGCCATACAACATTTCCTAAGTTGTAATGTTATTTAGAATTTAAAACCAAATTTTTTGTTAAAGACATAAACCGTACAATTTCTAAAAGTAGAAAATAAGGTTAAAGCCGTCTGACGAAAGTCGAATTTTATGATTGGTTTAAATAACAGTAAATATTAAAATCGGCCAACACTAACTATAATTAGTGTTGTTAGTAATTAGCTGATAATTATCAGCTCATAATGATTCTTATAGGCATAGGCCATAATCAATCACTTTAGTATAAAACATTTGATTTTAACAGATTTTACGTTAACAAAATAGATTTGAAGCATAAAAAACTAGGATATACGTTTTGCAAGAAATCTTAAATTTCAGGCAATATTCATTTATATTCTTATAACCATTCGTGAAACGCACCCTAGAAATCAAATATTTTTTAAGATGAGGATTGTTTTAATTTAAATATAAGATAAAGAATTAATTTTTAACCAATGAAAGTTTTATTTTATTAAATAGTTTATCAAATTAAAAATATATAGTAATATTAAGTATTAACACATTGCGTGACAGGTCATTTATATTTTAAACGAATAGAGTCTTAGAAATAGTTAATTTGATTTAAAATACTTGTATAGCAAATTAAAAGCTCTTGTCCAAACAAACAATAAAACTAACTTCGTATTTATTTAAAGGATTAGGTACTCACATATTTACTGCTGAGTGTGTAATGGGCATGTTAAGATTGAAAACAATATAAAGTTAAATGTTCCCCAGTGACAGCATAGGAACTTTCATGAAAACAAAATAAACACTCTACCGACTAATATCGACTTTACTATCGTGAACTTGGCAACCGCGCATGTGCCCTTTGATATGCCGATTTGATTGCAAATATTGAAACACGAAATTTTATGTGTTGTTTGAGAATTTTTGAGTACACAATAGGTTTAAGTTAAATATGTTATAGAATAAAAAAAACATAGTTTTTTGGAATAAGGAAAAAGTTTCATACAAAATTGTGTATTACTCATATCATTTAGACGTTGCAATCTAGTAATTAGTTATAAAAATTTTTATCGAAAAATTAGTCGATCTAAATAATAAAAAAAGTTAGTACACCAACTGATTCTATTTAAAAAAATTATTTAAAATTGTAATACATTTTTAAAAATAAGCTACATAAGACATCTATATAATCAGTTGCAGTTTTAAATACTTTTCTTAAAGAATTTCTGCGTCCCTTAATATTTTGAAAGTAGAATACTTACCCTAAATAAAACATGTTTCCTCTATACCACCTAGATGGCGCATAAATGAAAAAATGCTTTACTTTATATATGGAAAGGAAACCCAATTGGGTACGGGGTAAAATATTTATTTAATTACGCATGAATAAATTGTGTTTATTTATTGTTAAAATAAAATATACAAAAAATAATTTTAGAGTTTTACTTAAGAACAAAAGTTCAAAAGCTACTTTAACCTTAATTTTTATCCAAGGATTCTTATGCATTTTTTTGCAATATCAATGAAATTTTCTGTATAATAAACTCATTTTCCATAAAAAAAAAATAAAAACCAACATTCTTTATCATTATCATTCTCCAATATTTATAAAGTTTGGTTCTCCCTTATGAAATAAAATTCGTTATACGATGAGAACTTCTTATACATAAAATAAGAATCTTTTAAATATATAGAGTGTGTTTCATCTAAAATGAACCACCTTAAATAACTTAGCTGCGGCTTATAAACTTATATTAAGGATAGTGTCAACATTTTTTTAATATTCAGTAGGTACATATTTGAAAATGTTTTACGTTTAAAGCATAAATTATATTAAATTTAATATTTTAGGTTTAAAAAAAGTTTATTTATTTAATACAAAATAGGCTTGTTATGCACATGTAAGAAAAGTGTTAAGGCACTTTTGTTGTAATACAATGTCATGGTTTGGGTTTTAATTTCCAGTTACCATTAAAATTAAAAAAAGTAAATTTATGTACATATCTCTGAGAACGGATTTCTATTTTTTTTATTTGCATTCGTAATAAGTAAATTACCTACTATGTACAAATATGTGTTTTTTTGCATTGTATAAACGCGCCGGTTTAAAGTGCTAAGTGCTGTACGACAAATAAAGCAATCGCTGCCTTATTATGTTTAAATCATTTTCAAACATTGTCTTTGTACTAAAATAATAAAATACTTATTTTTTCAAACGACAAAACTGCTAATCTTGTAATTTTTTTTAGCACAGAATAAGTTGTTCCATTTTCTATATAAATAATATTATGTTCGTTTCCTTTTTCTATATACAGTGTGTTCCATCTAAAACGAACCACCTCAAATAACTCAGCCCTGCTGTTTAAATTATTGGCAAAAGCAAAGAAACACGTTGATTTTAGTTTGAAGGGGGAGACTTTTTTTATAAGGCTAGTTTAAACCTTTGATGCATTGTAAATCAGTACTATTCTTACCTTGCAAAATTGTTTAAATAATTATGGTGTACACATTACAAGAATGTGTTGAGTTGGTAGGCTTCTCTAAGTTGAATGTTTGGGCAGGAATCTTGCGGGACCATTTAATTGGGCCTCTGTTTTTTTTTAAATAACTTGAACGGCGAAATGTTCCTATCTAAATATGATGCAAAATAAAATTAATGCCTGGGTAAGCTAAACTTTGGAAAATGATCCCCTGCTCGCTAAATAGGACTTGCATTTTCTAAAAGACGATATCTAGAACATTGGTTTAGACGAAGAGGTCCTGTAGAGTGGCCTGCCCGATCACCTGACCTGAATCTAGGCTTTATTATTGTATGCAAGGACATTTTCAACATTTGACCTAAAAATATTAAAAGAGTTTTTTATTTTTAATTGTATTTGCCAAATAATTTTTTATAGCATGGTTGGAAACAGAATGAAAAAACATTCAATTGATGTACGACTTGATCCACATCTCAAATTTGATAGTACAGAACAAAAATGGCGAATGCGCCGGGATTATTTTTTTAGTTATTGCAAAAAAATTAAGTTTAAACCGGTTTGTTTTTATAACCCGAATCGTAAATTAATATTAGTAAAAATAATCCTTTAAAAAAATAAAACAAAACATTCTTAAAACGTGGCTGGTGAAATCTACGTGACTATAAATAAAACGAATTTCCATCCTGCCGACTTTATTTTATTTTATTTTTAAAGCATTTTCCAAAATGTCTCTCTTAGAAGGTAAGTTCATGCCGACTCACTAAATCAGTCTTACAGTGGTAGATTTTCTCGTAAAGTGCGTATTATACAATAAATCCTTATAAAAGAGAGACTTGCGGCGTAAATTCAAATAAAAATTCCATATGCGATGGAAAAAAATATGAAAAATCCTGTTAGGAAAAGTAATATTCAATTTTGATTTTGTTATTAAATTTAGGTTTCTTATAAATTCTTTTTGATAACATAGAATATTTTATCCCACATGTGTTTATGTAGTAGTCGATGTCATTTAGAAAAAAATGGGTTTTTGTAAAAATTTGTAAAATATAGCTGTTAATGTATTTTTAAACATGAATAACTTTGTTGATGTTTGGTTCCTGTAAAATTGAATTTTAAAGCTTTTAAGCGTTAAAGGTGTAAACGCTCATAAATAAATACGTAAAATACAATTTTAATTGGAATATTATGTAGTTGTCCTTTCCATTACTTTGATATTCTTAAGCACGGTGAACCCTTCATAAATATTTATATATTCAAATCTCTACCATATTTTAAATCATTGCGAGTAGCTTTTCACTCTTATGTCAGCAATGTCGGGTTTTTGTTAAAACATTTGCCGACATTTCTTAAATTAATTTATTCAGGAAGTTTTAATAGGCCTTACGTGAAAATAACTAGAATGTTTTATAAGGGTTACATGTTTTATATAAAGGGGTTGTTTGTAAGTTTATGTATTTCTAAATTTAAATTTTACGAATTTTAATTTCTTTATACCCAAAAACTTATATAAATATAAAATATGTTTTATATTTAAATATTTTTCTACGATAATAAGTAAGGGTTGTTTTGCTTGAAAATAACGAGAAAAAAAGAAAACCCTGTTAGTAAAAATTTTAATTAGACTTAGGCAACAAATTTAGTATCATTAAAAACCTAGCTAAACCCAGCGAGAGTTTAGTTTAGGTATAAGGGTCGTTTTCAAAAAACACCCGCCTTCCGCTGTCCGTAAGTTTGAATTCCAATAACTTTGTTAAAAATGATCGGATCTTATTGATTTAACAACCAAGTGAAAGCCTAACAAGCCCTTAGTAAACTCTTTCAAAAAATGTTTGTTTAGTTATTTCAGAATAATTTTTTTTAATTTTGAAACTTGTGAAACACACATTTTTGCATGTCCCATTAGCGTTTTATAAAACATACATACATGTTTTTTTTTAAATATTAAATAACCAGAACTTTATGTTGCTTTATATCAATCCATAACATCCTTAGTTAATACAATAAACAATTTATATATAAAATAATTAATTTTAATCTACTTTTTTTAAATTTATCCAGCTAAATTTATTTATTCAATCAGGAAGATCAAGAAGATATCGGTTGAAACAGGTGCGGGTAACGCGAATGTAATAATTGTTTGTCTGCTAAGTTACTCAAAAAAATAATAAAAATAAGGTAATAAAAATACTATTTTTCATGTTTATGTTTATTTTAGGGCACTAAAGCTCATTGAGAGTAATTAATGACTGTAATGTCTTATTAATATTTTTTTAATATGGTTTCACAAAACTTTTTCCACTGCGTTACCGAGTCCATTATGTTACCTTATGGTAACGCAATGGAATTTAGGGTAACGCAATAGAATTTTTCGACAACAAAGTGGATATTTACCGTCGCTTTTATTAAAAGTAGTTTTTGATAAACCAATTTAAAATTATTTGTGATTACATCCAAGGTAAAATTCCACGCAATATACAAGTACTAAAAGGGATCTTCACCAGCTTATAGTCAAAGAAAAAGGGTGTCTACAATTTAGAAATCTAAGTTCTTATTCTGCAAGTGATCCACTACAAGGGATTTTGTTTATGCATTACTCTAAAATCGTACCACCGTTTATAGTTTTTTTTACGTTATCTGATTAAGTCCTTTGTCTACCCCAGTCCGTTGTTATACCAATATCTATTTCGTTACTTTTTTTTGTTAAAAAATATACTTAAAATGATTTTGGTAACTTGGTAATACGTGTTTATAAATTAGAGTTTAACTCACTAATACAGTGACTAAAAGAAAATATTAATGGTATTGTTTTTTTGACAAAGAATCGGAATGGTTTCTTTTAAAAAGTAAATTAACGAACATACATATTTAAAAAAAGCATACAATTTTTAATAATAAATAAAATAAAAAATTGGAGTAAAAAGTTTGTGAACTAAGTAAATTTTATTTCAAATTATTTTTATAACAACTTTTTTTATTGAGTTAAATTTTGGATTTCAAATTGGTAACACAGGAGGTATATAAAGCTAGCTAAACACATTTTTTTGAAAAAAAAAGTAAAAAAATTAAAAAGTGCACTTGCCTGTCTTAAATGTAAGTATAAAACATTTTTTCCATCGTTTCTTAAAGAATTTTTGAGAACGTATAGTTCTCAAAATTATGTTTTAAATTTAAAATTCTCGATTAATATATTTTTAAAATATTGAACATAACCTAGAAACAGATATTGGAAATTTAATGAAAATTATTTCTTTAAAACTTACGTTATAAATTATAACGTACCTAACTTTTAAATTAATAATATTTATTAAATATCGTAATATGTATTTATTGTATAGTTTAATAAATTTGTTATTATAATTATATTAATAATATTATTCTTTATTTATGTTATATACAAGTAGTATTTACACAAGTCAAAAGCAGGTTTAAAATATAATTAATAATTTACAAAATAGATTTACAAACTTAATAAAATTAGTTTAGAACTAAAATAGAAGTTGATAAAACTTATAACTAGGTGATATTAAAATTGAAATTTAAAAATTCATCGAATGAATAAAAGGAATTTTGAATTAAAATTTCCCTAATTTTATTTTTTAAATTTTTGGCCGGAAGATTGTTCCAGTTTGACTTTTTTTCAGTCTATAATATGGCAGTGCTACATTATTAAATGTGTTAATATTATGAAAAGAACTTCATAATCAAAATTGCTTCAAAGAATTCATTGTCATTACTTTTAAAGTAGCAATACATCATTAAAAAGCAGTTACAATTAAAAAAAATGCTTCGAAGGAGTAAAGTACGTATAATAAAAAAACTGCTTTAAAGGAATACAAAATAATTAAAAAGTGCTTAAAAACAAAATCTCAAAAAAATAATTGAACAAAAAATGATTTGAGAATCCACAAAAATGTGTTTCCAGGGTAAATCATTATAATATACAGTGGGCCTGAACCAAAAAAAAGTTTGAATAGAAATGACACCAAAATCGGGTTTCGGATATTTAAAGACTTACATTAAAGGAGTTAAGATCAAATAAAAACAAAATCGCCCCAAATCCTTAATGTATAAAATATGCAATTCTTGTTTTGAGTTTTTGTTTAATTGTTTTTTTATTGTTTACTATGTTTACAAAATTCTTTTAGATTAAATTCATGTAAAAACCATAAAAATAAATGTCAAACAAATGTCCAATTTATAGCTATTTACATACCATGGGAGGAAAATAGTGCTTTTCCTCCCGCGAATAGTTTGATGCCCGACGCGAAGCGAAGGGCATTAAATATTCAAGGGAGGAAACGCATTTCCTCCTGAGGTATGTATATAGTTTTTTCTATTACCTTTTAACAGTTTTAAGACATATTAAGCGTTCCGGTTCCTTTTACTAACCCGGTATAGGGCTATAAAATTATGACAAAATATGAAGTAGGTGTTGCGTCGCGACGTTATGTTGACAACGCTTTGTTGCTAGGGTATTTTTGGTAATAACAAAATAACAGTTTTTATAAGCTGTCAGAATGTTTATCATAAATTTGAAATTCTTCCTACGTTTTGAAAATGAGTTCTAGCGAAGAAGACCTGCAGCAAGATCTTGCTGAACAGGCAAGAATAGTTGCAATTAATTTCCTTCCTTAAAAATCGAAAGAGCGATATGAAAATGAATACCTATAGTTTGTTAAAAGAATAGTTGGACAAGCGCGGAGTAAATATTTTTCCTACAAAATCAAATAGGACTAGACAAGGTACAAAAACTCTTGATAATGTAAAATTGTTAAAAAAAAAGAGGGAGGAAATTTTTTCCTTCTTGGGGAGAAAAAGTGGCAGAGAGGCAAAAGGAGTAAGTCAACACCTCACTGATAAGCGACAAAATTGTTGATACAAAAATTTCAGCGGTAAACTTTGGCAAAATATAACGATCAACTTAAATTTTGAGGTAAAAAAAATATTTATTTTTTATCCAAAGGTTTGTCAATTATAAAGTAGCTTCTGGAACTTCTACTAGTCAGATGAAATTACAAATTGTATACGCTGATCTGTTGGTAGCCGTAAGTTGGTAGCTGTCCGCTACAAAAATAACTTGTCTACGAGATCTACCGCTTTAGAGCTACAAAATCAATGAATTTGAGTTTGAAACAGAAGGTAAAAACGCGGAGGCTATTGAACGAAGAAATTAAACTGGATATGTAGCTGTTAAAGTTATGGCTGATGGTGGACAGGGTTTCTTCAAAATTTGCTTAACATTATGCCTGAAAATTATAGTCCTGATGACAGTGGATTCCACAGCCGAAAAAAAAGAACTCTTTACAGCTAAGGTGGAAGCGTAAACAGGGAAAGAACATTGACTGGGGTGCACAGATTATTAATGCTGTGTATTGTGCCGCAGATAAAAGAGACCTATGAAAACATGGATTTGCTTTTAAAATTGACAAAATTTAATAATATTTCCTTCAAATTCATCGCAGATTTTAAACTTATTTTAATAGTTAATGGTCAGAAACGGCAACATTGTCGTATCCCTGTCCGTACTGTTTTATCTCTTTAAGGAATTGAGGAACTTACCGTCGAAACTGAAAAAATGCATACAGAAACATGTTTTTCTAAGCTATATAGAAAGTAATGAGGCTTTGAGTGTTCAAGAAACATCAGCAAAATGTTTCAAGTTGAAAACTTGAGAAACAGCTACGAGAAATTTAGATCACTTAGAAAAAAATTAAAAATCGACAGAGATTGCCATAGCACAGTAAATCCCCCTTTGTTTCAAGAGAATGATGATGTCTACGTCATAGAAAAATGTGTTATTCCAGAGCTACACATCTTGCAAGGATACGTTCACCATTTATTTTGGGATGGGTTAGTGCCATTATTGTGTCGCGATCGGGCTCTTAAGGAGCCAAAGAAACTAAAATTGGTTGCAAAGAACCATTAAGGTAAACCTTTTAAATGGAATGCATGCTGTAAGCTTCTAAAAGAAGCAGATATTATCCAGAAATTTATGGTCCACTAGGTGTATTTGGAATTATGAAAAAGGTGTCAGCGTTCAAAGCAATTAATATAGTCGTCGAAAGCTGATTTTCTACCAAAATCGCCTCTCTTGAAATTGGTGAGTAGTTTACGGCTTTACTAAAAGCGTTTGAGGCTGTGGGCATATCCAAGATCTTAAAAGTTCAGGTGTGTCTGAAACATATACAGCATTCGCTGCATTTATAAAAAATGAAAGTTTCGGTTTGGGTCTTTGGTCGGAACAGGCAAGAGAATCGGTTCACCGCGAGAAACATTTTTAAAATTTATATATTTTTTTCATTAAATAATTAAAAATTATTATTTACGAGTTGTTCGAGTTTTTTTAGTGGAATATGAACGCCACAAAGAATTGGCTATTATATTCATCTCATGCGATTTTGTTTTCTCTCGATCTCAACTCCCTTACTCTTACTTTTCAAAGATCTTAAGCCCGATGTTGGTGTCATTTTCATGCAACCTTTTTTTGGTTCAGGCCCATTCTAAATAATTAATAATAAATAATTATGCCAATAAACATGTAATAGATAAAATAAAACTAAAAACTAAATTTTTTATTGTATTTTTTAGTACAAATATTGTTATTTAAAGCTATTAGCCATTAAGTTGGCTTCTGGGACTTCTTAGGAAATAAGGATGGAACTAAAAGAGCACGTTTGTATACTTTTGTATTATTATATATATATAAGCGAGTACCGCTCTGGATCTCAGAATAATAACTCCTCGCTAATCGTTAATAAACCAGTGTGTGTTTTAATTCATACTACGAACAGTAAAAACGTTACAATTGGTGTCAAAAGTGGGATTAGTGTGAAACTTCGCGAAAATGGTTTCGTTAATGGACTTAAAAGTGGCGGACCTTAAGCGGGAGCTAGAAGAAAGGGTGATACAACTGGGAAAAAGAATGTGTTGCAGCAGCGGCTTCAAGAAGCGTTGGAGCAGGAAGGTGAAAATCCAGATTCGTATTTATTTGAAGGCCAGTGTAATATGCATTTAATGTTGTAAAATTTAAAAGAAAATATGTTAGAGAATTCTAACAATTTGAAAGCTGATTTGAAACAGAAGCTCTCATATTGTAATGTTTTTACTGTTCGTAGTGTGAATTACAACACGCACTGGTTTATTAACGAACTAAATGATTTATTTTATAACTTAATTACACTCAGAACACTAAGAAACTATAAAACTAACTAAACAATTAACAACTAATTATTTATATATCACTATTGTTCAAGAGTCTATTTATTTGCACGTATATTTATTGATTTCGTCGCGAGTACCAAAACTTGACTGACTCCTCATGTTGCGCTGTTCCTTATATATTTAGTGCCTACGTGACACTAGTCACGCAAGCGCCTTTTCGAACATTCCAGCGAGCTCCGTACCGCTCTCGATCGCTCGAGCGCTGACTCACCAGCGATGACTCATCGGCGATGAATCATCATTCCGAGATCCAGAGCGGTACTCGCTACACTATATAGAATAATTCATTAGAAATTTTACTGCAATATGAGTATAAAAATAAATTAGAAAAGTTATTGTTATTTATTGCTGTACAAATTAAACTGTAGTTAATATAATTGGCTTTATCAGTATTGTTTTGGTGAACACACATTTTTGTGTTTATAAACTCTTTTAAATTCCATGTTGGTTGTTTACTTACATACATAAGTACTATTTGATATTGTTTCGGGATTAATTTATGTTGCATCAACTTTATTCGTTAATCTTGCCATGCCTGTTATGCCTACAAATATACAGTCTATTTTTTTAATTGTTTTGCATTGACTAATTAATTTGTGAACCAAACATAACAATTTGCTGTTTTCCTTGTTTACATATGCCGGACGTACATATATCAAATAGCAGGTATTGGACATTTTAAAATGACGCAATTTAAAACATTAAAAAAGACTGTATACGCTAAAGAAGCATCGCTAGTAGCGCCACCCCGTGGCTGTTATCATGATAACAAAACTACAACTTTTAATAATTAGCTGTCGAACGCGTATGTTACAAACGAGTGTTTTGGAGGATAAAGCCGAAAAATGTTAAAAATTTATTTATTATTATTATTATTTATTATTATTATTTTTCTGATATAGTAGCCAAAAGCGACGAACCATATTATTTAAGCCAGGTGTTGCTTGTATTATTTGTTTTTTATGGACTATACACTTTATAGTATACAGCGACAAATTCATTTATTTGTATTTCTACGATTTATCTAATTAGATAAATTCCATACTCATAAAATCTCAAGCATTCTACATTTTAGCAGACATCTCCAATATCTTAATACTGTGAGAATCCCAAAGTTTTCGAGAGTATACTCTATAGATTCTTTCAGAAATTGCGTGTCAAGAACATGGGTGGTATCGGAGAAGTATAGTTGCTTTTGATAACAAGATATTTAATTGGATCGTTTTCCGCACACTGCCTGGTTATTGATTGTAAGGATCTTAAGTCAACAGTGGTTAATTAAAGCCGAGAGACGCGGAAAATTCTATTACCTTTTTTGGGCATTATTTAAGTCTTAATTAATATTAAATATAACCAAAGGCATCCAAAAGACATTATTTATTTAACATGAATAGGGTTTAATAATGAGTTTATTAAGGTATTACATCAGACATTTTATATCAAATAAGGAGAATACGTTTACTTGTTAAAGGAATAGATTTTCTTTGTTATTTTATATGTCGTGGATTTTGAAATGCAATTTAGGTTTATCTCACTACCTACGTATCGAAATTGGATTCGATATGTTTACTTTGACATTGTAAAAATAGCAGTATTTTGTTTAGCTATAATAAAGATTCTTTACATTTTACTTAGTACTCGGGTAAAAATTTCTTTAACGGATCACCCGCATAATTTTGTTTAGATTTGCGTTTTTTTAAATGTCATTCGCAAATGTTTGTTTTATTTAGCATATATTATCCACGCGAAATCGACCACTTTTGAGCTCGACTCCTTTTGATTTGCATAAAATTTTTGTACTAAAAACGTTTCTCGATTTTGGCGTAATAATGTCATAACTTGCACGAAAAATCGTTGTAAAATGAAGATCATTCTTAAACGATTTTTGGTACCCTCAAAAAGTTCAATCTGTTATTTAACCTTAAATTTGTGACTTTTAAGATTATTTATATATTTTTTAACAAATATTGACAAATAAATGTAGCCAAAATTCTTGTAACATTTTACGCTGCTAAAAGTATACAATTATACAAAAATATAAGTGAAACATTTAAAAAGAGTAGACACGAAACTTATCTTTAAGTTGGCAATAGTAAATAATAAGGCTTTGTTATGGTAAATAATATTCACCTATTAGTTATCAATTGACATATTTTGCCAGAAAAATCCCGAACTAACGACGACAACAAAAAATGTAATACAACTCTAAATAAAAGCTAAAATCGATAAAATACTATAAAAACATGTTGCATAAGTTTTAAATATGTGGCCTTTTGCAACTTGTACTAATGTACTATTCTGGAATTTGTTTAATATTTTTTAACAACTTTTTGTAAATTAATCGAGACGGTGTTTTTTAATTTTTATTTTTAACCGTATACATAATATTTAAAGTTATATTATATGCCATTTTTCAGTTAAAAAAATTGAAATTTTCAAATTTCGTCATTTTTTCTTTTAGTTTTTTTGTTGTAAAAAAAAACCTTTAATTTATGTCGCAAATCCCTTCGTGGGGAAACAATGACAAATAGCACGATAATAAGAAGGTTCTCATTGCATTTATTTCTTAATATCCACTAAAATTTATATCATTTTTTTTAAAATTTTGTATCTAAAATGTTTATAACTTTTATATAAAATGTTTATAACTTGACTAAATATTAACGTGTAAATTATTTTCCAATAATTATTACCAGATTTTTCTATCAACTTAAAGATCGTAGGCTCATTTGGTAAATTTTTACTCAATTTTAAATGATTTATAAATTATAACAAATTTTTTCCAATTTAAAACTCGATTGGTTCAAATAACAGTGAATAATGAAATCTGTTCATTATTCCTATTGTTAGGCAGGGAATTTATAATGTTTATCAATATTATGCAATAGGAGTACAGTGTGTCGCATTTAAGATGAAGACCCCTATATTTTTGATATTTGAAGAAATACAGATTTAAATTTTTGCACAGTAGTACATATTGATGGGTCACATTTTTTAAGATACTCAACGGAAATCTGAACTTTAAACTCAGCCTACTACGAATTCACAAACAGGGCCAGTTGTCGATATTTAGCTTCGCGTTAGAGATATCGAAAAAAATTATTGGAAAAAGTTGTTCAAAATATTATTCTAACCCCGTATAAGAGAATACGCATTGAATACAATTTAAGGATTGTTTGTCAATGGTTGAACCAAAAATTCACAATGCGCTGGATAGGAAGAAATAGTCCTTTTGAACTATGGCCTTCGAGGTCTCCCGATATTACACCCCTCGATTTTTATTTTTGGGGAATGGTAAAAAATAAAGTTTATAAAAATAATATAAATATGGCATATGATATAAAATAATATAAATATGGCATATGATATTTTTTTGTATTTTATTTGAAAATATTTAAAAAATTTTATTAGTGTTATTTTTGATCGCTGATATCTTTGAAACGGTTGACCTGAAGAACTTTGACCTTCAGATGCTTTTTGTAGAGCGTGAAAATGTCTATAACTCCTCTCTCTTGGGTGTTGCGAAAACAAACCATTCCAAAATTATAAGAATTCAAAATTTAAAAAATAAAAATTCCCGTGTTATTGAAATGGAAAAACAGCAAATGAATTGAGGCAAACCTTAATATTAATATTAAGGGCTCAAATATGCGCCCAAATTTTTGTTTATTAATGTACTATTAATTTTTCAACACCCTACTGTAT